TAATATTGTTCATCAGTTTTTTTTTTAATTCCTTGGTTTTTAGATTCACTTGTTGATAGTTACATATTTGTTGTTCATAATTTTTTATCTTTATTTACTTTTTCTTTCAAAAGAACCCCCTTCAGCAATTCATATAATTCTGGTTTGGTGGTGATGAACTCCTTTAGCTTTTTTTTTTTTTTTTTTTTTTTTATTAGTGAAGCTCTTTATCTGGCCTTCGATTGTGAGTGATAGCTTTGCTGGGTAGATTATCTTTGGCTGTAGGTTCTTACTATTCATCACCTTGAATATTTCTTGCCATTCCCGTCAGGCCTGCATGGTTTCTGTTGAGAAATCAGCTGACAATCGTATAGGTGCTCCTTTATAGGTAACTACCTGCTTTGCTTTTGCTGCTTTTAATATTCTCTCTTTGCCTTTTGCTCTTGGAATTTTAATTATGATTTGTCTTGGTGTGGTCTTCTTTGGATTCCTTTTGTTTGGAGTTCTGTGCGCTTCCTGGACTTGTAAGTCTAATTCTTTCACCAGGTGGGGAAGTTTTATGTCACTATTTCTTTCAGTATGTTTTTGATATCTTGCTCTCTCTCATCTTCTGGGACCCCCATAATTCTGATGTTGGTTCACTTGAAGTTGTCCCAGAAGTTTCTTACATTATCTTCAATTTTCTGGATTCTCTTGCCTTCTTGCTTCTGCAGAGGAGTGTCTTCTGGCTCTTTATGTTCCAAATCTTTGACTTTATTCTTGCAATTTTCCATTCTGTTTTTAGGACTCTGTATAATATTTTTTATTTCAGACAATGTATTCTTCGTTTCTTGTTGATCCCTTATTATTTCTTGTTGATTCCTTATTAATTCTAGTTGATCCCTTTTCATATCCTCATAGGACTTATCAATCTTTTCTAGGAAATTCTTGAAAAACCTTATAAGCGTAGATTTGAACTCTATATCCAGTCGCTTTTTGTCCTCCATTTCTTTCTTTTGCGATCTATTTCGTTGTCTCGGCATTTTCACAACTTCCATGATGGGGCGGGGTTTCAGGGTGGAGCCTGCAGCCTTGGCTTCCGTCAGCCCCGCCCTATGCGGTTCCTGAGTCTCAGTAATCCCCAGGGTCCTTCAGTACTCGCTGGAAGCACCTCTGAGAGAAAGGTGCCCTCGATTTTCGCCTGCTACCAAACAGTCTAGGCTCTCCCCCAATGAGCCCGGAACTGGGGTTCAGTTCAGTTAGAAGTGGAGTTGGAGGTGGCGTTCAGAGCAGTCTGGAGCTTTTGTCTCCTTCCCACCAGGGCAATCCCGCGGCACAGCCAACCGTCCCTTCTCTGCTCGCAATGTGCGCGCCTCCAGGACCTCCTTTCGCTCCTCCCCCGGGGTTCTGCCTTACAGCCCAGCTCCCTATGGATGAGCCTGGGTCTCGGGGTCTGGCCTGGAACTGGGGTTCAGAGCAGTCGGAACTGGGGCCCAGCACAGTCGGAGCTTTTATCTCCTTCCCGCTAGGGAATGCCAGCCAGGCACTCAGCTTCCCTCCTCTCCGGCTCCGTCCTCTCTGCGCTCCGCGTGTCTCTGTACCTTTGGCTTTTACAGCTCTTCCACGCTTCTTTCTGGTTTTCTCCTTGCTTCTCGTTGTAGAATTTCTAGTCATTCGACTTTCCTGTAGTTCTAGGTAATGTCCATTTTATATTTTAGTTGTATATTATTGAAATTGTTGTGTGCGGCTGTGGCTAGGTGTTTACCTGTGCAGCCATCTTGGATTCTCCCACACCTTGATTTTAAACTATTTTACAAAACTATGGTAATTAAAACAGGACAGTATTGTCATAAACACACACACACACATAAATCAATGAGACAGAGTAGAGAACCTAGAAGTAAACCCATTTTATTATTGTTTGTGCAACAAATTTGAACAAATTCACCTATGGTCATTTAATTTACAACAAAGGAGCTAGTTTTCTTTCTTTTTTTTTTTTTAAATGTATTTTATTGATTTTTTACAGAGAGGAAGGGAGAGATATAGAGAGCTAGAAACATCAATGAGAAAGAAACATCAACCAGCTGCCTCTTGCACACCCCCTACTGGGGATGTGCCCACAACTCAGGTACATGCCCTTGACCAGAATCGAACCTGGGACTTTTCAGTCTACAGACCAATGCTCTACCACTGAGCTAAACTGGTTTCGGCAGGAGCTAGTTTTCTTGAATACAAAATCAGGATGATGGTACATTAACTCAGATTAGCAAAAACTTTCAGAGAATTTACTGGTGTGTATTATCTACTTATTCTAGTTTTATTCCAAACAATCCAAGCTTTAAAAAATAAGTAAAATAAGTCAAGATGAGTTAACACATAATTGTTGTTGTCACCTCTAATAAGAGTCTTAAGAATCTTAAAGAAAGTTTGCATAAATTGACAGATTAGCAATTCCCCCTAAAATATGATGTTCCTTAAAAGTGTAACTGTAGTTGTTTTTAAAAAGCAATCAGCTTAGTTCAGAAGTGTAAATAGAGGAAGGGAAAGTTGGGTGTTGGAGAAATTTAGTAAATGAGTAGCAGAATTGATAACTGAGTCCAACTTCCCTGTTCCTGCTAATAACAATAGCTCTTTAATTCCCAGAGTCAGCCTATTAGCAGGAACATCAGCCTTTATAACACTGAACATTTACCTGGTCTAATTATAAAGGACATGTCACATAGATAATGACTAAAAAGGAGAAGACAGTTGATAGTTTAGGATATAGAATTTTGGATGATTCTTTTTTTTGCAATATTTTTCTTATAACACTGTGCAACGAATTCATACAAATTCATATGTTAAAAAGTGTAACATAGTTCACTGTGAAGAAAATTAAAGAACCTGCAAATTTGAAATATAAAACTGGTAGCTTTTCTCTGTTAAGACCAATAGTCATCACAAGTCCATAGTGTACTGAAATGACATAAATATATATATAAATAAGGATTAAAGAATAGCACAGCATATATTCAGTCTGTTTAAACTGGCTTGCAATCTAACAATAATTCATATGTGCTTTGGATTATTATCTCTTATTACCCTGTCTATAAAATTGTACCTTTGTTCTATGTGAGTCATATCCTTCCAGTTCTCCATTTGTTCCACATTTCAGGAAGCTTAGTGTGTAGTAAGTCCTTGTTATAGCATTTGTAGATTTTATTTCAATAAATAAAGTTCCAAAATGAAGCTTACTTCTCTCTTTATTCAGTTGAAATAGCATCTACACTATGTAAATGTATGTCCTGCTTAGAAGTCCAATAGTAATACAATGTTTAATTGAAGTTCTTTTTAGTATTTGAGTTATTATTAAGCTACAATAATATATTTTATTTTGTTGTTCAAAAAATAGCATATGCTTCAGTTCTCCTCTTGCCTTCCCTTTTTCTTTATAACCAGACATTATATTTCAGAACAGTTTTAGATTCACAGAAAAAAATGAGAATGTAGTAAAGTTTCCATGTACCCCATATACACACTGCTTCTCCTATTATTAATATATTTAGTATGGTGCACTTATTACAATTAACAAACCAATATTAGTACAATATTATTAAAGTCTTTCATTTATTTAGATTTTCTTAGTTTTTAAAATAGCGTCATTTTTCTGTTCCATTATCCTATTCACCATACCACATTAAATTTAGTTGTCATATCACTTTAGGCGCCTTGACTAGTTTCTGACTTCCCTTGCTTTTGATAACTTTGACAGTTTTGAGTACAGGTCAGGGATTTTATAGGATTCCCCATGATTGGAATTGATCTGATGTTTTTCCCAGGACTGAGATAAAGGTTATTGGAAGACACTAAAGTTCCATTTTCATCACAGCATAAATGTACATACTATCAACATGACTCATCACTAATGTTAGTCTTGATTATGTGGCTGAAATATGTTGGTCAGATTTCTCCCCTGTAAATTTACTGCTCTCTCCCCGTTCCATACTGTACTTGTTGGAAGGATGTCACTATGTCCTGGGTAGTGAATTGTGTTACTCTTAACCCTTCTTTTTTGTCTAATACATATAATCTTACACTTCTCTTTCTGATATCTTAGAGTAGTTCTAAAGAAAATTAAAGGAAAGTAAGTGGTATTTCAAATTCTGACTCACTAGTTTGTGCCATCTTTAACCCTACTTTGATGGTTAGGACAATTATATAAGAAAATGGCCTAGAAGGCCTAATTAACCAATATTAATTGTGGAGATACTTATACAAGTCACACCAATATTAATACCATATGCCTCATAATATACATATGCTATATATATTATACCATATGCCATTAATACGGTATATGAATAAATTTATATATATACATATACATATATATACATAGACATATATATATGTATATGTGCTGCTGAAGCGAGCACAAATTTTTATATTTTATTCATTTTTTATAGAGAGGAAGAGAGGGATAGAGAGTTAGAAACATCCATGAGAGAGAATCATGGATCAGCTGCCTCTTGCACACCCCCTACTGGGGATGTGCCCGGAACCAAGGTACATGCCCTTGAGCAGAATCGAACTCGGGACCCTTGAGTCCGCAGGCAGACGCTCTATCCACTGAGCCAAACCGGTTTCGGCATATGAAGAAATTTTTTTAAAAGATGTTTGTTATGGAAAAGTGGGCGCTTCTTATGAAAATACTGGGAGAAAACTCTTGCCAATTCACATAAAGGGTTCCTCCCGAGTCTAGTCGGGGAAAGACAACAAAGGAAGCGAGCACTTCCTCCACCTGGCTCATTTCGGCCAGGCTGGGCTTCTCACTGCGCGTGTGCAAGGCCCGCCCCACCCCGGAACTTAACCGTTTAAGAACATCAAGTGTTTAAATCCTCCGGAACCTGATCCTGGAACCCCGGTGTCGACCTCATCTCTAAGGCGGCTTGGGATTGGTCGGACGCTAGCCTGTTCGGGGCGCTGATTGGCGGTCCCCAAGTCCGTCGCGGAGGACGTGCGTAACGCTTCCAGCACCGCCCCTGCGCCCTGACGGGTCGGGTTTCTGACCAGTCAGTGGGCGCGGCGCGGGTTTCGGTTCGAGGAGCTAGTGTTTGCCGCCTCGGTTCCCGCGACCCCAACGTCTCAGGGCGGAGTCGGTGGAGGCGTTTCCTGGAGCCCACCTCTGTTTCGGTTCAACAAACAGATCCGGCCTGAACGGGAGGTTGTAGTGATTCGGGCTTCATGCTTCGATTTTCACGGAGAGGCCGGAGCGGGGACCGGAGGAGGACCGTGGGCGGCGTTCAGGACCCCGCGTTGGGATCAGCCCTCCAGGAACCAGTGGAACCAGTGTGAGGAATTAGCGGATCACGGATTCCTGTAGAATCGTTTTTGCTTAGGTATGTGAAAAGGTTTCCAGTCAATAATGTACTGTTTATAGTAAGGAGACCAGACGTCCTGACAGTCCCGACTTTTAACAATTTGTCCCGCGGCGTTAAAAACAAACAAACAAAAAAAAGGCCCGATTTTTGGAAAGATTTCAACAAATTGTTAAAAATCGGGACTGGCGGGATGTCTTCTCACCTTAGTTTATAGTTGTTTCCACTGAGAAATTTTCTCGAGGACTGAAACCCCTGATGCTCGCTAATTCCTTGTCCTCTAGTAAGGGATCGATTAACGTTTGAAATTCGTGGTCCGCTGAAAATAACGTGTAAACAAGCAAGTGTGAAAATGCTATCATGTGTATGAACATAGGCGAAAATAAAACCAAAGTGATGTCTAGGTAGGAGATGGTTTCACAGAGGAAGGAGTGTTAGAGCTGGATTGTGGAGGATGTTGGGGGGTTTACCAGGGCATTCCAAGTAAAGGGGGCAGACAGTCTGTGCAGGTATCAAACTCGGGGAACTGCAAGTGTTCAGTTTGAGTGGGATGTAGTATGAGTGGATAAGGGACACAGTTGGAATAATAGAGTGGACCAGATTGTGATGTTTTTTTTTTTATTATTATTATTCTGTATATAAAGAAGAGCCATCAACTTTTAAAGAAGGAAAATATTTAGATCAGATTTATATATGATAGAAATAACCTTCTAGCAGCACTGTGGGGAGTTTACAGTAAATATGGTGAGGAACTAGGTGGAGAAAGACAGAAATTTTATGGGGAAGATGAAGGGGAGGTAGGGATGACTTGATGATTTCTATTTGACATAGGATGCCATTGTCCAAGGAGAATATATTTTGCTAGGTATAGGTGTTATGTGGTTTTAGTTTCTCTAGCTTTAATTGCTTGGGTGGTACTGTGAGAATAAACGGTATCATGTGTATTGTTTTATATACCAACCTGATGCACGAAATTCGTGTTAGAGGCTTGGCCTTCATATCCCCAGCTTCGCACGGAAGGTCATCTGGCTGTCCGGTCTAATGAACAGATTATGCTTTTATTATTATAGATTGATTTCAGGGAGGAAGGGAGAGGAAGAGAGAGCGATAGAAACATCAATAATGAGAGAGAATCATTGATCGGCTGCCTCCTGCAGGTCCACCACTGGGAATAGAGCCTTAAACGTGGGTATGTGCCCTGACCAGGAATGGAACCCTGACCTCCTGGGTCAGAGGTAAACATTCAAACACTAAGCCATGCTGGCTGGGCTGTGTTGTTTTAAAATGAGAAATGGATCAACATTATCTTTTTACCCTAAGTCATAAAGAAAGAAGAGACACATATGGAGTTTTAAACCTCTTCTGCTTAATGGCATTTTATGGTGTTACAGTGAGTTACAATGATCAAGAAGCTAAATACTGTTATCTGTGACAACCAAGCATCATAGAAGGGCTTTAAAGTTTAAAACTTGCATCCACAGAAGCTCTTCATGAACTCCAGATATCTCCAAGAGGATCTTAGTCAACCTTACAAGGGCACTTTCAATAGAATTTTGTTCTTGTAAATATTTTCAGCCTCTTGAGTTTATCCAAAAAAATATCTTCTAGCCCTAGCCGGTTTTGCTAAGTGATTAGAGCATCGATCTCGGGTTTAATTCCGATTTAGGGCACATACCTTGGTTGTAGGCTCAATCTCCACCACAGGTCAGGGTGTGTGGGAGAGGCAACCAATCAATGTGACTCTCTCACATCAATAGTTCTCTCGGTCTCTACCCCTCCCTTCCATTCTCTCGAAAAACCAATGACAAAAATAGCCTCAGATGAGAATTTACCAAAAAATAATAATAATAAAAGTATCTTCTAAATAATGGAATAATAAGTAACCTAAGTTTGTCTAATTTGTTAATAAGTGGTTAAATCATGTATTTTTATTTTGTCACTAATTAGTAATACTCTCTTCTTTAGGATACCGAGCATTTGAAATTTAATAAATCATTCGCCAACTATTGTGGAGCCTCTATATCCTCGTGCAGGGTCCCAGATGAACACCAGGTATAGAAATATTTTTATACAACTTTTTTTTTTTTTACAGCTGCTCACATAACTTGGAAAGATAGGGTGAAATAGAAGAAAATAAATTTTTAGGATCAGGAAGATCTGGGTCTGTATCTCAGCCCTGCCACTTATTAGGTGGGTGACCTTGATCAAATTCATTCCCTTCACTAAGCCAGAGTTTCCTCATCTGTAAATTGGGGATAGTAATTTCTCTGTAACAAGGGTTTTTGTGAATGGTTAAATAAGATTACTAAAGGGTCTGGCACATAGTAGGCACTTGGTAAATTTTAGTCTCATTCCCTCCTTTCCTTATTTTAGTTTCACAGAGGTTGTTTTTACTGATAGAAAATAGTACCTAAACTCTTAAGGCTAAAATTCTATTTATATCCTAGACAAGTGGGAAAGTGCTTCTAAACCCTAATTCGTTGGTGGGAAAAAATTTCACGTTGGAGATACCTAGTTTCCTTAAATGTCCCTAAGCCTTTTTCTAGGATACTGTGGAGTAGGAAGGAGGAGCTTGCCACCTGTCTTCAGTTTTCTCTGTCTGTACTAGAGGGACCATGCAAATTGACTGTGTTATTTGCTTCTTTGGATCGTTTATTGTTCTTTTTTTCCCTCAGGGAACACCAATTAGTGCTGACAAGTGAATTATTTTCTTCTAAACTAGAATTGCCATCCATGTGTGACCTTTTTTCTCTGTATTGCCTTTCTTTGTGCCAGATGTTCTTGATGAAGACAATGGAAACGTGACCCAAAGAGGCTATCATGTCTTTCACTTAATATTGGCCCTTCTGTTCTACTGCCATCTCTTATTTGAAATTTTGTCAACAGTTCTTCTCTTTGCTGACTTATTTTTGGGTCAAAATTATTCCTTATATTCTTGGTAAAAAAAAAAAAAAAAAAAAAAGTATATATATATATATATATATATATATATATATACACACACACACACACACACACACACACACATATATATATATGTATATGTATATATATATATCTTTTAAACTGGTTATTCCTGGCATATTCAATTCTAGTATTTTTGTGTGTTTTTTAAAAATAATCTTCAACTCTAGTTTTCTGTTGATTGGTTTTGTTTGTTTAGTAAAGCCTCTGGTTTTCAATAATCTATGGATTTTAGGATAGCAATTTTGAATTATTTTGAAGTTACAAACTGCTTTAAATAGCTGGTAGCCATGCATTTCATTTCCTGAGAAAAAGTTCTTATGTGCATACATGCAAAATTTTGCATCCAATTTAAGGATGTTTTGTCTCCCCTCCTCCAAAGTCTAAGTATATACCTTAACAACATTTATTGAAATCCAGGTGCTTAGCGTGCATTATTCTTAATTACTTTTCACAAGAAACCTTTGAATTGTAAATACTAATATTACCTTCCTCTTTTTTTTCTTCTTTTCTCTTAAATGAGGAAACTGTAGCCTAGAGAGGTTAACCAAGCTAAAGTTATACAATTGGTAAGTGGTATAGCCAGGATTTAAACCTCATGTGACTTCTGCTCTATACTACAATGAAGTAAACCTGAAGTAGTGTAGATTGGGCTTTAAAGGTGCTATGAAATACTGAGGCAAAAATAAATATCTAATATTTCTAATAAGCCAGGAATTTTTCAAGAATACTGGTATTATCCTGTTTAATGGGTGAGGAAGCTGAGGCACAGAGACATTAAATAACTTGATGAAGTTCACACAGCTAGCAAATTTTGAAGCTATGTTTTTTTTGTTGTTGTTTTTTTTTTTTGTTTTTTTTATATTTTATTGATTTTACACAGAGAGGAATTGAGAGGGACAGAGAGTTAGAAACATCGATGAGAGAGAATCATCTATCAGCTGCCTCTTGCACACCCCCTACTGGGGATGTGCCCGCAACCAAGGTACATGCCCTTGAGAATCGAACCCGGGACCTTTCAGTCCGCAGGCCGACTCTCTATCCACTGAGCCAAACCGGTCCCGGCTTGAAGCTATGTTTTAGACCTAATCAGTTGATCTCCAGACTTGTAAAAAAATCCTCATTGGAGGATATATTGATTTTAGAGGAAGTGGGAAACATGATGTGCCCTGACAGGGAATCAAACCCACAACCTTTTGGCATACAGGATGATGCTTCAACCAATGGAATCAACCAACCAGGGCATTCTTCAGACTTTTTTCTTTAATTTTTAATGTATTTTTATTGATTTCAGAGAGGAAGGGAGAGAGAGAAACATCAGTGATGAGAGAGAATCATTGATTGGCTGCCTCCTGCACACCCGTTACTGGTGATGGAGCCTGCAATCCCAGGTATATGCCCTGACCAGCATTTAAACTGTGACCTCCTAGTCATGGCTTATACTCTTTTTTCTGTTATTAAAAGGGAATTTTATAAGATTAGTACTCCTGGTTCTTTTTTTAAAACTTCTATATATGTAAATTTATGTATGCATAAGGAAAAAAGCTATACCTAAATTTATAGTGCTTTTTCTCTTGATAGTAGCTACAAGTGATTTTTTTCTTTTACTTTTTAAAAATATTTTCAACTCTTCTAAAATAACAAAACTAGTCTGCAAAACTTCATCATATAAAGTTAAACTGTTTCTTATAAAATTTCTACTAAGTTTCCTTTTCATTGTTCTTTGATTTGAAAATTTTCTTTTAAGGTTTTCTTCAAGCAAGATGGTACCATTTTATTTTCCTCCATCAAAATGTGCACTTTGGAACCCAATGCCAATTGGAGATTTCATCAATTTACATCTTAATTACTACAGGTATAAGATGTTTCTCTTTTCAACTCAAAACAGTGTTTAAGGCAAAATGGATAACTCTGACTAATTTTTTATTTTATTTTCCATTTCAGAATTTCTTCCCTTTTGCTGCTTCTTAATTATATTCTTCATGCCTTTGAGAAATAATTTCAGTTAAATAGTCTGCAAACCTTTTGAATTCTAAGTATTATAAGAATTCAAAAGAGGCTAAATAAAAACTGAAAGGATTTTTATAATGCTTCAATTTAGCATGATGTCTTTGTATAGCATTAAAAAGATTGAATTGATTTTGAGTAATTAAACCATATTAGAAGGAATATATAGTTCCATAAATATGGCCAGGATCTTGAAAGAAAGACATAGAAACGTAGGTTTAAAGTGTTAGAAAAAGTTATTTTTATTGATTTTAGAGAGGAAGGGAGAGGGAGAGAGAGAGAAACATCAATGATGAGAGAGAATCACTGATCAGCTGCCTCCTGCATGCCCTCCACTGGGGATCGATCCCACAATCCCAGGCATGTGCCCTTGGCAGGAATCTGGGACCCTTCAGTCCACAGGCCGACGCTCTATCCACTGAGCCAAACCAGCCAGGGCCTAACTTTATTTCTTATTTATGTGATCTCAGTAAAGTAGCTAGGAAATCAATTTCCTTATTTATAAGATGGGGGTAATGATACTTGTTTCATAGTACTCTAATAAGGCTAACATGAGTTACTCTATAAAGAATCAGTCGACACAGTGCCTGGACATCGGAAGTTTTCAATAAATAATAGCTATTATAAGGGTTTAGAACAGTATTGAGATCAAGAGGAAAGAATGAAACAGGATGGTTTTGAAGAAATTTTATAGCATTTGATGATCTTCTGAATAGAGGAACTAAAGGGAAGATACAAGTCAGAGGGTATTTGAGAGAAAGGTGGTATCTGACAGAAACAGTCTTTGAGAAGTTCAATTAAATATTTGTTAGACTCGTTCATTCCTTTCTCCTTGTCTCTCTATATTTCCTATTATCTTTCTGTGCTACGTTTTGAGTGATTCCTTTTGTTCTTCAATTCTATTAATTTTTTTTGTAGCTGTGCTTAATTGCCATCTAACCTGTTTATTTAGGTTTTTTAAACATGGAAGTATAGTATACCAGTATGTGAAAGACTCTTTTTAATATACCAGAGGCCCTGTGTGCAAATTCCTGCACAGATGGGGTCTGGCCAACCTGTCCCAACCAACCTCAATTAGTCCTGCAAGGGGGTGGGGCCATGGGCAGTTGGCCGGCCCCTCACCTGGTTAATCTCAGCCCCTCACCCTGGGTAATCTCCCGTTTGAACTCTTGGTCGAGGGGACAATTTGCTTATTAGCCTTTTATTATGTAGGATATGTATAGTTTATAGAATAATGAACACTTGTGTACTATCCCCAGTTGATTATATAATCCTCTGGGTTTTTAATTCTATTTTTAAGTCTGCAAGTCTTTTGTGTGTGTGTTTTTTTTCAAATTAGCTAGTATTTTTTTAATATATATATATAAAATATATTTTTATTGACTTTTTTTTTTTAAATAGAGAGGAAGGGAGAGAGAAGCATTGGTGAGAAACATTGATCAGCTGCCTCCTGCATGCCCCCTATTGGGGATGGAGCCAGATGTCCTTGACTGGAATTGAACCCAGGACCTTTCAATCCATGGCCTTATGGTTTAACCACGGAGCCAAACCAGTCAGGGCTAGTATTTCTATTTTTACTCCTTTAAATATATATTTTATTGATTTTTTTACAGAGAGGAAGGGAGGGGGATAGAAAGCCAGAAACATCGATTAGAGAGAAACGTCGATCAGCTGCCTCCTGCACACCCCCCACTGGGGATGTGCCCACAACCAAGGTACATGCCCTTGACTGGAATCCAAACCGGGACCCTTCAGTCCACAGGCCGACGCTCTATTCATTGAGCCAAACTGGTTTCGGCAGGGTTAGTATTTTTAATAGAATCTTGTTCCTTGCTCATATTTTAGTCTTTTATATTTTTTTAAACACTTGGATAATTATTTTTGTTTTATATTCATTAATACTAGATGATAAGAAAACAATGGATATGACTATTTCATTCAAATTTTACAAAAATAGGAGGCTAGCCTCATAGTTTCTCATTCTCTGTATGATTCATAAAAATAAGCAAGTGCCTGGAGAACAGATATAGCCTCAGTGTCTGCTTATTGTAGTTCTGATTTCCAGGCAGCCCTCCCTATGCCCTGCCTTTGACCCTGGGATTTCCTGACAATGATTTTTCTGTACATATTTAAAGATGTGTTATATTTCAGACAGCATTTCATGGCAGGAGGGTTTTTTTAGGATATCAGATCCACTACCTTTATAAAAGACTTGTTGTTTTTCAGAAATCCAAAGCTTGTGATAACTGAAAAGACAATCCGACTTGCTTGTCGACATGCTAAGCAGAATAAAAAGAACTTGCCATGCTTTTTACTTGGTTCTCTCACAGTAGATGAAGGTAATATTCTTTAAAAAAATTATTTTTATTACTATAGTAGAGTTTATGTTTACTGATCTAGCCAATTATTGTAATATATTTAGTGCTAATGTTCTTTGCTGTATGCCAGTTATGAAAAAGAGTAAAACTTGACACTATTCATCACAATTTTCACAGTCTAGTCAGGTGGAAAAATATATGCATATGCTAAGAGTTTGTATTACCATTAGTATGAATACAATGGTCTGCTATAACATATACTTGCTTGATTGCTTTTAAATTTTTAGTTGGTATGCTATGTAATAATTGCTATTTTTGTACTTTAGATGAAGAAAGTGTAATATTGACAATAGATCGCTTTGATCCTGGTCGAGAAGTACCTGGATGCTCTGAAAGAACCCCTACTGCTTCTCTTCCTGGGGACTTTGTGATTCCATGCAAAGTCCAAACTAATGGACTTTGTTCAAAAGAAATAATAGTACACAGTGCAGATGACTTCAATTCAGCTTTTAAGGTGAGATTTGATGACAACTTGATAATTCATAATTCAACATGGGTAGCATTCCAGAAGAGGAAGCAGTGTGACCAGGATAGCTAAGTGTAGTATGTGCTCAGGTTGACAATACTAGTATAGATTTTGGCTGGATTTGTGTGTAGTCAGTCTGGAATATTAGTTTGGCCAGATTATAGAGAGACTTGTCTGCCAGGTTAATGAATTTGAACTTTGTCATATGGGTTATGTAGAGTCATTGAAAGTTTCTGAAAAGAGGAAATAATAATTGTATAATTCTAAAATAATTGTATAATGTTGACTTTTCAGGCTCTGCAGCACCATATACGTAGCAAAGAGTCCTTGGATTGTGGTAAACTGCTTTCCCTAAGAGCTCATATCACTTCCAGAGAGAGTTTGGACAATGTGGATTTTGACTTACATTGGGCAGCAGTAACTCTAGCAAATACCTTTAAATGTATACCGGTGAAGCCCATCTCCATTATTCCTACAGCTCTGGCAAGAAACTTGAGCAGTAATCTTAACATTTCTCAAGTTCAAGGTATCTATAAATATGGGTAAGTAAACCATCTATTAATCTAAAATTTTTATTTGTTGGTCACATTAGTATATTTTCACAATATGCAAATAATCTTATATAATAAAAGGATAATACACAAATTAACCCTAATGGCGGAACGACTGATCACTATGACACACACTGACCACCAGGGGGCAGATGCTCAACACAGGAGCTGTCCTCTGGTGGTCAGTGTGCTTCAATATGGGGAGCGCATCTCAGCTAGAAGCCGGCTCATGGCTGGCTGGTGCAGTGATGGTGGTGGGAGCCTCTCCCACCTCCACTTCCAAGGCAGCGCTAAACCATTAGTTGGACATCCCCTGTGCTCCTGGGCTGCCAGAGAGATGTCTGACTTACAGCTTAGGCTCGATTCCCTGGAGAGCGGGCCTAAGCCATCAGTCCGACATCCTCCAAGAGGTCCCGGACTGTGAGTGTGCACAGGCCAGGCTAAGGGACCCTCTCCAAGTGTATGAATTTTTTAAAAATATATATTTTATTGATTTTTTACAGAGGAGGAGAGAAGGAGAGAGTGTTAGAAACATAGATGAGAGAGAATCATCGATCAGCTGCCTCTTGCACACCCCTTGCTGGGGATGTGCCTGCAACCAAGGTACTTGCCCTTGACCAGAATCGAACCTGGGACCCTTCAGTTTGTAGGCTGACTCTCTATCCACTGAGCCAAACTGGTTTTAGCCAAGTGTATGAATTTTTATGCACCAGGCCTCTAGTATGAAATAATTGTGTAGTCAGTTTACATTTTACATGCCAGAGGTCTGCAATGCTAAATAAATAACCAAGGAAGATGAAAATGTAGTTATTAATTTTTTGCTGAATATAGATTTTTCTTAAAGAGTTGTGCCTACCCTACCCCAAAAAATTGTGGTAAAAATTATATTAAAATTGGTAGTATTCTGTGATTTGAAAATACAAGGAAAAATTATTCTCTGTAATACCATTTTATTCCTTGTATTTTGCCTACATTTTAGGTCATCTTTTTTTTTTACTTTGTCTTTTTTTTCCCCTTGACAACAGCTTGATTATGAGCCTAAAAGAGGCTTTAGAATTCCTTCATTGTTAAATCATTTCATTATTAATAATGAGCATTGCAGATAGAGAAAGGAGATAAATAATAATTTGTAGTACTTTTGCTTACCAAATTGTCAACCACTTGAGGGTGGAGTTTCCTCATGTAGCTGGAGCAGTATCCTCTCCAGCTTCCTAGCAGCACTCTTAGTTTCTTAGGAAATGTTAGCTAAATTGCATGCTTTCTGCTCCTCAGCAGGACTGCTTCCCTGAATCCTCATCTACTTTCTTTACCCATTGTCTACTGAGCTAGATTAGACAATGTAAGCACCCTCTGCTTTAAAGTCTAAGCAGTTCACTCTGGCTTCCTTTCCCACTAGACTCCACCCTAGTTCCTGTTAGGTCTCTAGAGCCAGAATTGTTTGCCAAGGTACACTCAACTCCAAGTCTTATTCTCTAAAAAAAAATACCTCTTCAAAAGAGGTTAAGGAGAAGGGAGGATTTTCTTTTCAGAGGGTTCCTGGAACAGCAAGAAAGATCCCACATGCTGACCTTTCTGGTTGGAATGGCATTAAAAAAATGTTGGTAGATTCCATAATCATGGAATGGTTAAATGTGATGGTGATAAAAATGTCTGAATTAAATGTAACATTTAATTTACATGGAGAGTCCTGGCCAGTGTGAGCAACTGAGCAACGGTTAGAATGTTGGCCCAGGTAAGTTTAGGGCACTTACCTGGATTGCAGGTTTCATCCCCAATCCCACTTGGGGTAAATGTGGGAGGCAACCACTGCATGCATCTCATTCATGTTGATGTTTCTCTCCCTCCCTCCTTTCCACTCTTCCACTCTTTCTGAAAAGCAATGGAAAAATATCCTTGGGTGAGGATTAATAAAAAACAACAGAAAAGTAATTTCCTTGAAATAGGAAAGTGATTCTCAGTTGGGACATGGGAATTTGTGTTAATTAACAAAAATATTAATTTGTTATTCTTAGTACCCATGCCCATCTACTAGTGAATTATTTTCTCTAAATTATCCTTCTGTGACCTCTTGGCATACTACCAGTAACCCATGATGTTCAATATCCTAATTTTCCATTCTCCTTGCCCCTATTGTCTGTAATTATGTATTAAATTTGTGACATTTCTCCTTTTTCTTGACCACATTCATTTGTTTACCCTAATTTATTAGGATCCATTATGGAATAGGTATTATGTTAGACAATGGAATTAAATGGACTTTTAAAAGGCATACTTATTGTCCATTAAGTATATTAATGTGTAAACATGATGTGGGTAAAGATAATATGTACAGACTAGGGGAAGCAGGAAGGTATGTGTGAATTGCCTGAGAAAATCATGGAAAACCTTAGCTGGTTCTATTAGAGAGTAGGAATTTATCAGGTAGGCAATACAGAAGAGATTACAAAATATGTATGAGTGTCATCAGTAAATCCTGACAACTCAGGCTTAGTCATCTTGTCACATGGCCTGATAAAATCATTATCTTTGTGTTTTAAGGTTATTATAGCAATTGAATATATCCTCCGTAGACTATTGAGACTTAATATCACAAATAGCATTGTTTTAGTTTTTGTATTTTAATGCCATATCAATAAAATTTACTCTCCACAATTCATCTGTAGTTACTCATATCCTTAAAACTTACTGTAAGTAATAAGCATAATAACAAAGTATAAACATAATATCCTTTTAGAGTTTAGTGAACTTTTGAGTTCTGTCATGATAGTTCCAAAGCTCTGTGATAGTGGTTGGAGGACTCTCACCTAATTCAACTTCCTTCAGTGAGAAGTCACATCTGTTGCAGTCTTGTCAACAGATGTGGATGTTTGAACACTTACAGTAAAAGGAAATTCACTTCTCCCTGGGGAGCCTGTATGGTTCTGAAATTGTTAGCCTTGATTTTATTACTTTTGATTAAAATTAGTTGACACTTTTGGAGCAAAAACTTTTTAAAGGGTATGTAATTTTCAATGACCACTTTAATAGATAGTTTGAATTTTAAGATATTGAATATCTTTAATCTCCTCTTACTGGAGTACTGTTTTATATTTTGAACTGTTTTCTTTGTGTACATGTGTGTGAAAGAAATTATTCATTTGAATTATCTCTCTTGCTTAAAATGTGCTTCAGCACTCAGATGATCTCTTTTAAAGGTAAAAAGTAAATACTTACAGATGTTTTTACATGAATGTTTTCTGTTTAGATATCTTACCATGGATGAAACACGCAAATTGTTACTTTTGCTGGAATCTGATCCCAAGGTTTATTCTCTTCCATTAGTGGGAATGTAAGTGTTGCATTATTTATGAAAACATTTTCAGCCACATAATGTGTTTAAATGTATATGATAAACATACTATGAATATCTAATTAAGAGTTAGATTACCTTATAAACCACAACAGCCAATGATTCTTAAGTTTTCTTATTTTAATAGCAGAATCTGATTTTTGTCCAATCTTAGGAAGAACTTTAGTTTATAAAACATAAAGTTGGGCTCTTTTGGTTGAAGTCAAAGCATTGGAGCCTGATTTCTTTAACTTTCTTCACTACCCACTGTCCTGAAGGCACCTTGAAGAACACAGGGCTAGAATAACACTTTAAATTCACTGTCGGGCAATTTTGTAGGACTTCCATAAATGTTAATGGTTTTCTCTTTTGAGTTAGTGTTTAATGACATTTAAACAAATTAGTCAAAAATATATATTCATTCCGTATTTATTGGGTGCTTATCATATGTATAGTATTATGTTTGGTGTTGTGTTAAGATTTAAAACTCCTCAAGAGATTTATAATCAAGGTGAGATGATGAAATATTCAAATATTCATGCATTGAGAAATAATAAGGAAGTATATGATTTGCTATGAAATGAGCAACCTAACAGAGCGCTATTAGTACTTGTAAGAGAAATGATGTGGACATTTTCTCTCTTGAGCTGGACTTTTAAGTGTTTGGATCATAGAAGCGAAGCTTGGTGGAGAGGGAGCCCATATGAAGAAATATTATAGTATGTGCAAAGTTTAAAAATGAGAATACACAAATGTTCTGTGGGTTATGAAATCTACTTAATTTTGTTTGCTTTGCTTTTGGTATTGGCTATGGGCTTTTGATGCTAAGTGAATATTTTTTAATTGAATTTATTGGGGTGACATCTATACTAATAAAAGGGTAATGTGCAAATTGGTCAGGACACCCTCATAGTAATGACCGAACAGCAGGCTGCTTGGGGCAACCATGCCGGCAGCGGGGTTAGTGAGGGACAACCAAACAACTAAACAGCAGGCTGTGTGGAGTGACCAGGTCAGCAGAGCTGGGCAGTTAGGTGCGACCAGATCAGCAGGGGAGGCAGTTGGGGGCAATCAGGCCTGCAGGCAGGTGAGCAGTTAGGAGCCAGCGGTCCCAAATTAGAGAGGTTGCAGGCTGGGCTGAAGGGACACCTTCCCCTCCCCCACTACCACCCCCCTGCACGAATTTTGTGCACCAGGCCTCTAGTTGATTAATAAGATTATATAGGCTGCAGGTGTACAATTTTTGTATACATCATCTGTATATTGTATTGTGTGTTTACCACCCAAGTCAAGTCTCCTTTCATCACCATTTGACCCCTGTGCCCTCTTATACCTCCCTCATCCTCCCTTTCCCTCTGGTAATGGTCATAGTTTTGTCTAAGAATTTGTGTAGGGTTTTGTGCTTAATCCCTTCACCTTTTTCACCCAGCCCACCAATCCCTCTCCCCTCGGACAGCTGTCAATCTGTTTTCTATATATAAGTCTGTTTCTCTTGTTTGTTAGTGTATTTTGTTCATTAGATTCTACATAAGGGTGAAATCACTTAGTACTTTTCTTTCTTACTAAATGAATATTTATTAAGAGCCTTTTATGTTTCAGGCTACTAATGTATGTTACAGAATTTAATCCTCTCAGTAACTTATTTTGGGCTTGTTAACCATTTTCTCTCCCACTATTTTCCCTTCATCTCAGGTGGGACAGGAATGAGAGAAAGAAGCTCTCTATTTATATACTAGAGGTCCGGTGCACGAAATTCATGCTCAGGGAAGGGGGGTGGCATCCCTTAGCCTGGCTTATACCCTCTCCAATCTGGGAACCCTCAGGGGATGCCTGACTACCTCTTGCAATCTGGAACCACTGGTTCCTAACTGCTCGCCTGCCTGATCACCCCTAACACCTCTGCCTGCCTGATCGACCTTCACTGCTCACCTACTGGCCTGATCACCCCTAATCGCCTCTGCCACACCCTGCACCCAGGACCCAGGATTCCCTCCTCTGGCCAGTTGCAGGCACTCAGGACCTGTGCCAGCTTCACCTGGGCTGGCCACAGCTGCAGGGGATCAAGGGGCGGGTGGCTTGTCCCTTTCCCAGGCCACAGGTACAGGCACAGCTGCCGGCGCCAGGGACTACAGGGTGGGTGGTCAGCTTGTACCTCTCCTGGGTCGCAGTCTGGCTGGTCCCCATTCCTCTCCCCCCAGTGTTGAGTGTTTGAACAGTTCGGGTGTGATGATCATTTGCATATTAGCTCTCTATTATGTAGGAGGATTTGTATCTATTCTCTCAATTATTATCATGGTCTGGTGTTCATAGATTTCTTATTTATGAGGTCTTTAACATATTGCTGGTGAATGCCAAAAATCTCTGCCATATTTCTCTAACAACATGATCTAAAGTATATTAAATATCAATTTGTAAATGACTATAGTTTTTTATTTCTATTTTTTCTTTTAGATGGCTCTCTGGTATTATACATATATATAGTCCTCAGGTGTGGGCTTGCTGCTTACGATACATGTTCAATTCCTCTATTCAAGAAAGGCAAGTGCTATTGTAGTATTTTATTTTGATCTTTTTCTCCATTCATATTTTATTGATCTTGAAATTGATGTGGAGCCTAACCTTTTATAATACTTATAAACTAGAAGAACAAGCACATTAGAAAAACAAAGCTTATATTAAATAGGAATAACATCAAAGGTGAGGTCACACCATATTTGGAAATATGAAGGAATTTACTTGCCTAATGCAGAACTGTAACACAAAAGATACACTTTTTAGGAGTGGGGGGAGCACCTTAGAACTTATCTACTCTAGCATTCTATTTTATAAATAAAGAGATCAATTTTCTGTGAAATGAGTTTGAATTTGTTATAAGTGTTTTATTGAGTTACACAGTGATACTACTAGCACTCTAAGAAATATTGGAGAGGAAATGTTTGATTTTCTTCCTGGAACTAAAGTACAAGCATTGGAATTAATAGGGACACTTTATTTATAACCTCACCTCCTCATTTAATTTTGTTACTTTGTACAAAATTTTTTAAATTCTCACTTTGAGGATACACTTTAAAAAAAAAATACATTTTATTGATTTTTTACAGAGAGGAAGAGAGAGGGATAGAGAATTAGAAACATCAATGAGAGAGAATCATTGATCAGCTGCCTCTTGCACACCCCCCGCTGGGGATGTGCCTGCAACCAAGGTACATGCCCTTGCCCGGAATCGAACCCAGGACCTTTCAGTCCACAGGCCAACCCTCTATCCACTGAGCCAAACCAGTTTTGGCCTGAGGATAGACTTTTTGCCTTGCACCTTCTTCATCTATTAAATGAAAATTCCAAAGTGTGTTTCTGTCTACCTTGGATGGCTATAATACACATTGGGGGGAAAATATCTTTATTCAAATATATTGTAATAAATCAGACAGACATTAATAAAGATATACAATAAAAATATCTTCTACCACATTCCACCAGACCCTATCCGCAGAGACAATCTGCTGTTAAATAGTATTTTGTGCTTCCTTCCTGCAACATGCAGTGCACAATCCGCTGGCCTATAAAAGTTAAGTCATTGCCGAAACCTGTTTGGCTTGGTGGATAGAGCGCCAGCCTACAGGCTCAAGGGTTCCAGGTTCGATTCCGGTCAAGGTCATGTACCTTGGTTATGGGCACATCCCCAGTGGGGAGTGTGCAAGAGGCAGCTGATCAATGTTTCTCTCTCTTGGATGTTTCTTACTCTCTGTCCCTCTCTCTTCCTCTCTAAAAAATCAATAAGATATATATATTTTAAAAAATTATGTCACAAATGGGAGCATATGTTCTTTTCTGTATGTTGCTTTTTTCTCTGTATCGTTATTCCTTGTAGATCGTTACATCTTAGCATGTACAGATTTAACACATTTTAAAAGTGAATAGTAATTAATATATAACATTTTAAAAACTTGTACTTTTTTTGTATTTATCTTTGCATATTTTGGAATATTTGTAGAATAAATTACTAAAAGTGGTCTTTCTGGTCAGAGTATAATTTTAAATTTTGGTACACAATGCCAAATTGCCCTTCAGAAAGACTGCCAAAACTCATCAAGAGTCTTTAAAATATATACTAAAACCAACTATTATGGACTTGTTTTTGTTAAATTCTATAAAATGTTCTTGTATGCCTTGGAGAAAATCTGGAAGTATATATACTAAACTGGAGACTGGAGTGGGGTAGTTTTCATTTTATATTGTTGTCTTGTTTGAAGTTTTTACAAGACATTTTTTCCCCCATAATGTATTTAAAAATTAAAAATCGCCTTGGCTGGGTAACTCCATTGGTTAGAGCATTCATCCCAATATGCCAATGTTTCAGGTTTGATCCCTGGTTAGGGCACATGCCAGAATCAACCAATAAATGCATAAATAAGTGAGATGATAAATCGGTGTTTCTCTTTCCACCTCTCTTTCTCTCACCCTCCTCTCTACCCCTTCCTCTCTCTCTCTCTCTCTCACCCTCTTCTCTCTTAGAAAAAAAACGATTGAAATTATAAATTAATAGCATTAAAAAGTAAGCATGAATTTGCCCCCTAGTTTTCTCCCAAAAATTTCAGTCTGTTAACTAGATTGAGAGATTCATATAAAGTTCTTTGAGTATACTCTTGTTATCTTCAGTACATTTTAATTAAATGACATTTTTTCATCCAGAGTTTTTTCAGAATCTGGAAATTTCATTATAGTTCTATATTCTGTGACACATAAGGATCCTGAGTTTTATGAATGCCTCCCTTGCGATGGCAGGTTACCTGACCTTCGATTCCAGCTACTAACCAGCAATGAAACATTACATCTTTTTAAAGTAAGTGATTTGATTTGATTGATAAGCCCAATACCCAAAGTAACTATTAGGTTTTATATTTATAATCAATCTTGCTGAATATTACCTTATTTGTTTATGGTTTATTTTGCTTTATTAATTTGAGGTCATATTTCCAGAACTAAATTATAATATTGGGTCAAAGGTTACTCACAGAATAGCTTGCCCTTTTTTTCCTAAAACCTTTGAGCATGATATCAGTAATTTATATGTTGTATCTTTTTATGATCCAGAGAGTTAATTTGTAATTTTAGTGTTTTCTTTGTCCTAATTATTACTTTTAAAATATAGGGGTGTAACTGATGGTTTCTCACACTTAAAAGTCAGTGTTAATCATATATAATCCCAGGAATCAGAATATATTGTTACTGTATCTAATAAATACATAAAAATTCATATGTGTCATTTTGTAAAAATATTCAAAAAATACTTTTCATTAAAATGGTTAGTTCTAGGTCTCAAACCAATAATAAAAATTTTCAGTATTTTATTAAAATGTTGAGCAACTGAATAACGATATGTTTTTACTCAGATCTTATTTTTTGCCTGATTTCATTTTATTTATAGGTTGTATCAGTTTATGAATTAAGTTTTTGCATTTTAATTTTAAATATAATCATCTTAAACAAAATCTAATTTATTTCTATTTTAGAAATATCATTTACTCATTCTTTATGTTGCATCATCAATTTAAAGTTGCCATTTTAACTGAATCCCTGTTTATTGAGGGAGTTACATAATACAGGTGATTAATACTTTTGTAGCAGGGACATGGACAGTATAAAAGAGGTAGTTACATAAAAATAGTACTACCATGCAATCCAGCAGTTTAACTGCTGGGTATTTATCTGGAGGAAATGAAAACACTAATTCAGAAGAATAATTGCACCCCCATGTCCATTGCAGCATTATTTGCAATAGCTGAGGCATGGAAGCAACCCTAAGTGTCCATCAATAGATGAATGAATAAAGAAAACATGGTACATATATACAGTGGAATATTATTCAGCCATTAAAAACAAGGAAATTTTGCCATTTGTCACTAACATATGAAGGTATATGCTAAGAAATAGAGAAAGACAAATAGCATATGATCTCATTTATATGTGGAATTTAAAAAAAATAAAAATAACTACAGAGCCGAAACCGGTTTGGCTCAGTGGTAGAGCGTCGGTCTGTGGACTGAAAGGTCCCAGGTTTCATTCTGGTCAAGGGCATGTACATTGGTTGCGGGCACATCTCCAGTAGGGAGTGTGCAAGAGGCAGCTGGTCAATGTTTCTCTCTCATCGACGTTTCTAGCTCTCTATCCCTCTCTCCTCCTCTCTGTAAAAAATCAATAAAATATATTAAAAAAAAAAAAAAAAGTACAGAGAACAGATTAGTGGTTGCCAGAGGTGGGATTAGGGAGGTGAGAGAAATGGGTGAAGGTACTATAAAGGTACAAACTTTCAGCTATAAAATAAGTAGGTTCAAGAGATGTAATGTACAGCCTGATGACTATAATTACTATATTGTATATAATTTTTTTTTTTTTTTTGCTTAAAGTTATTATTTATTGACAATAGAAATTTATCAACCTGGTAGTATATTGTATATAATTGACCATTGAACAACATGGATTTGAATTGCTCAGGTCCACCTATGTGCACATTTATTTATTTTCAGTTGACCAGTGCAGTTCAAACCCACACTTTTCAAGGGTCAACTCTGAGGTTGGGAACCTGGGTATGCCAGAGGGCCTACTATCATTATTTGTGTATTTTCTTGCTCAGGAGGTCGGCACTCCTAGCTCTCATGTTGCTTACGAGTCAGTTATATTTGAAAGTTGCTAAGAGAGTAGATCTTAAAAGTTCTCATCATAAGAAAAAAAAAGTTTACTTAACACCTGTTATCTGTATGGTAATAGATGTTAATACAATTACTTTAGTGAGCATTTCATAATATATACAGATATTGAGTCTGTTGTATCCTGAAACTAATGTTATGTCAGTTATCCTATTGAATAAAAGCCTACTATGTAAATTGTCCCCTCAACTAGGAGTTCAACTAGGAATTTGCTCGCTATGATGTGGGCTGATCACCAGGGGGCGGTGCGGAACATGGCAGGTGTTGGTGTTGCCCTGTGACCTCTCACCCACTACCTGGGGATGGGGGTCATGGGGACTGAGTTGCAGTGAGAATGCGGGGTGTCCACCGAGCTCACTCTCACTTCCCCTGCTGCCCTCCCCCGGGATGCCAGGGTTCATTCGCTAGGGAAGGCCCCAAGCTCAGGTTCCAGGTGCCCACAACGAGCCCACCCTGCACCTGTGTGGCTTCTTCTGGGTGAGCTGGGCTCCCCATGGGTTTGTGCAGAAGCCAGTCTACAAGGCCAGCCATGAGAGAGCCCGCTTCCTGCCTGGCTTCTGTACAGCGCAGCTGGGCGGCCCAGAGGCCCACGCTGTACCCTGGCCCATGGCATTCAGCTGTGCTCATTGCATCTCCACATGGGAACTTAGGTGCCGTGACTCAGGCGGAGGGGGGCATGCAGGGGTCTGGGAGCCCAGGATCTGCCCAAGGCCCAGAGGTCAGCTGGGACCTGCCTTTCCATGCCATATGCTCACTCTTTGGATCTCCAGCCAGGCCTAGGGACCACACCCTTGCATGAATTTTGTGTACTGGGCCTTTAATATCTCAATAAAATTCTTTTTTCAAAAAAGGTTACAGTAATCAGGAATCTCCCCCTAGTATTTCAGAGCTACTTTTCATCTAAATAAAATTTTCTGGTGTTATACATCTCAAATTACACATATCAAAATGTGACCTGCTTTATTTCAGAATGTTGAACCTTCTGACAAGAATCCAATACATTTTGAACTGAGTGCTAAAAGCCAAAATGCAGAAACAGAGTTTTTCAACAAAGTTTGTAAAAATCTTTCAATTAAGAGGTAAATGATACACTTTTTATTATCTTTGTACCTAAAAGTTATTTTTATTAGTTTTTGAGGAGTAATTAACTCCCTAATTATTTCTGATGAAACTGTTTGTATATCTTATGTATCATATATTTCTTCCCTTTCTTGTTTTAAAACTTGGGCCTAGCAGGTAAACTAGTTTACAAAAATAATTTCTCTACTAGAAAAGAACAGTTTATTTTAAAACTTTTAAAGCAAATACACTTGGGGAATGAACTAAAAAATGGCTTGTGACTTTGGGGGGCAGTATATCACCCATCCATGTTGCCTGCTGTCTGCTGAGGTGTTTTAATTTGCATCTTGGTCTTCGGCAGTAGGTTTGTACAGGTTCCTGCTGCAATGTGATCTCTGTTCATGTCACTGGGTCTCTGTGTCATATCCATGCTGCACTGAGGTGTATGGGATATCATTCTGTATTCTCCATATCATTCTTTGGTATGTGGGGAGAGAGCTTTGTGGGACTAGTACAGACCCTTTTGCTTAAACACACTGGGCAGATATTCTCATTGTTTCATTGTGGCACCTTGGCATAGAAAGAACATCATGTTTGCCTCTCTATACTACCAGGGCTTAGGGCAAAGGTCTGTCTCTCTTGCTGTCAGATCTTGCAAATCTACATGGAGCTTCTGTTCTTTTTGCTAGGGAGGTAGGATGCAAGACCCTTTCTTAGGGAATCCATTAATGTCTAAGCTCTTTTAGTTTCTTTCTGGCTTTTATTTACTCTTCCCTAACTCATCCTATTGAGATTTGATCTAGTTTAGGATGCAAAAAAACCTGATTATATAGTTTTCCAAATTTTAGTCTTAAACTCTTAATTTTAGCTTTTGAAACTCAGTACCAGCTCTCTGTTCTCTGCTGGGTCCTGCCACCTGTGATACACTAATTGCATCTGACTAATGGGGGGAGGTACCTCAATTAATTTCTCAGAGTATTTTTCCATCACAGATATAAGTACATAGGAAATATAATTCCTTACTTGATTTAACATAGTGTTTAAGATAGTGCATACATATTTATCACCAGATTATAAAGTTTTTGATGGCAGGTGCTATGCTTGCTTTATTTCTACATTCCTCCAAGTGGTTAAACAAAAGATGTTCACTAACTGTTGATTTCTTGTAACATTAAGAATTAACTACAATAGGTTAAATATGCCATGTTCAGACAAAGGGGTATTTTAATGTGTAATTGGGCCAGCTGTCCTGGGCAACTAACATAGGCCTGAAAAATGAAATAATCTGTGGTTGTCATTTAATCTAAGTTAAATGATCCAAATATGACTGGGTTACAAAAGGACTTTCTTCAACTTCAAAAAGAAAGAACAAACAAATATTAGATTATTGAACACTTTTTCTTATTTCCCCTCTACTCTTTAGGTCTGCCCAAAAGTTATCTCCAGGGAAAATGCCAATAAATGATCATGACTCTGGTGTTGAAGATGAAGATTTTTCTCCAAGACCAATTCCTAGTCCTCATCCAGTGAGTCAGAAGGTATCAAATGAACTTAAAAAGTACTCACCTTGGTGGTTAGAAATCTAAAATTCTCTTCATATTAAAGCACTCAGTAATGCAATCTAAAACTTACTGAAATTTTATTCTAAGATATACCTACGTGTATGTATATAGCTATCTATACCTATATATATTCCTCACAGATAAATATAATTATTTACACACACACACACACACACACACACACACACACACACGTCATAAGTACATATTATTCCCAGAAAAAACTGAGACACAGATTGGTTAAGTTACTTGCCCAGTATTACATAGCTAGTAAGTAGTAAAACTGGAATTCTGATTCAGAAGGTTTGGTTTCAGAATCTGGTATTTTTAACCCATATAGACTTGACATTCCTGCTATATCACCAAAGCTTGACATTGGGTCTTAACTACCATATTCTGAGGAAACATTCTACTTGCTTTTGGAGATTTAATTGCTAATATCTCCTGCCATAATTTTTTTTTTATTGCAGCCAACTAGTAGGTTATTTTAGAATTGTTGTGCCTTAATTGGATTAATGGCTTATTGGAAGGAAAAGGAACTGGAAAGATTTTTTTAAAGTAATATCAAGTTATAACAAAATTTACCACAGTGAATATTTTGTTTACTCTTCTCTGCTCTCTTCCAACTCTTTTAGTTGGTATCAGTAAAAAAATATCTGAATAATTGTGCTGAGTGAAAAAATATTCTGAAATATTTATTGGAAGATTCCTTGTTATTCAAAATTCAGAAACATTATTTGCTACTAAATCTGTTGAAGCATTTTGTCTGTGATAATTTTTTTTGCAGAAACAATAAAAACAGCTATTGTAAAACAATTTCTCATACTGTTATCTGTAACCTAAACAACGTTAATCGGTGTCCCAATAAAGGAATTCCATCATTATATAAGTTTGTGAAATGCTTAGTTTCATTCTTTTCAGGCAAGGACCTTGTTTATTTTGCTTACAATTGTATTACTAGTTCCAAGCATATAGAAGATGCCCAGAAAATATTCATCAACTATCTAGATAAAGAGTAAACCCTTTTGGATAAGTAATTATATATAACTTGGGAAATACTGGTCTAAGAAAAGTGAAGCATTTCTTTCTCCTAAGAAATACTTTTCCTCTTTCATTTTTTTCTCATTTCTAGGTTTCTAAGATCCAGCCATCAGTTCCAGAACTTTCACTTGTGTTGGAAAGCAATTTAACTGACTCAAATCCTCTGCCTAATCCTTTGGAAATGGTGAATAATGAAAATCCTCCATTGTTGATTAACCGGTCTGAACACTTGGAACCACTGCACTCCCAGCTTTATGATGGGAAACACAGCCCAGAAATTGAAGTTGGAGAGCCTTCCTTGAAAGGGCTTCCAAATCAATTAAGCCAGGGCACTACTCCTTTGGGACACTGCAAAATTCAACAGCTAGCTACCTACCAGAATGAGAACGCCCACATGAGGAGCAGTGTTAAACCATCTTCTCTTAACGGGTCACCTACTGATGCATCTGAAAAGCATCAAACAGTTTCTTCTGGAAATGCACACAAAGAAGAGTATTCTGTAAGATCTTCCACATTTAATTCCAGGCAGTCTTCTAATGCCCCACAGTCCCACCCACACAATTTTACTTTCTCACCTCACAATTCAGGAAAACCAGTGGAATTTCAGATACCTCCCCCTCCATCACCGTCTTACTATCCCACTAATGTTTGCAGTTGTTGTCAGCATCATGGCCATATTCGGTATAGTCCAATAAATTCTTGGCAAGGAATGAATACAGTAGGATCAGTTCAAGACCTCCAGACTGACGCACTTCAAAAGCATACATTATTTCACCCAAGTGGGTGTCCTGCTCTGTGCCATAATGCATTCTGTTCTTCAAGTAGTCCTATAGCTTTGAGACCTCAAGGAAGCATGGATGGTTGTTCTCCCCACGGCAATGTAGAGCCATCGCCTGTAGCAAGACTACCTTCACATGTGGACTCCTGTAACCGGCCTTGTGCAGTGTGCATGCACACACCGAAGACTGAGTCAGATAATGGAATGATGGGACTATCTCCAGAGGCATATAGGTTCCTCACAGAACAAGACCGACAGCTGAGACTACTTCAGGCACAGGTTTGCTGGGAGCTTTCTTAGTTCTTTAAAATTTTTGGTATTAAAGTGGTTTCTGAAAAATAACCTGCAACTCTTTAGTAATTATACGTTATGGAGTAGAATTATAGAATGTCAGAACTAGAAGGAGCCTTGGAAACTGAATTCTGGCCCTTGTTTTACAGATAAGTAAAATGAGGATTAGAGAGAGAAAATAGCTTACATAATGACACATTGCTAATTGGGAGTAGAATCAGGACTAAAAAAAGCCTTTTTTCTGTTTTGTGCATATCCTAACCTACAACATAATTGGATTTTTCTTTTCATTTTTTGCCTCTAATGAAAAGTCTATATATCTTACTAAACTTTTATGGACAACTAAATACATGGTAGGGCAAAAGTTGGTTTACAGTTGCTCATATGTAAAATAATAATACAAGAATAAACTGTTTTGCACATACAACTGTAAACCTACTTTTGCCCCACCCTGTATAAGGGGTGCACAATGGATTCTGATACTGTTCTACCCTGTTTCCCCGAAAATAAGATAGTGTCTTATATTAATTTTTGTTCCCAAAGATGCGCTAGGTCTTATTTTCAGGGGATGTCTTATTTTTCCATGAAGAAGAATACTGTACACATTTATTGTTAAATGAAAATAAAGGAAATTTATTACCTGTATTTGGTACAGGAGTACGGTAGTTGTCAACACAAACCAGACAAACTGTGAATCCTACAGTATCAAGAATTTACTCATTTATTCAATGACAATCATGTCATCTTCTTCTGGCATATCATCATAACAATCCAATTCCTGAATTTCCTGGTGAATTTCTTGTGACTCCATTTCTTTCAGAATCAGTGGACCAAACCTCTCATGTTTAGCCTAGGCGGCCCTTATTTTCGGGGGGATGCCTTATATTTCACTCAGAAGGAAACCTGTAAGTAGGTCTTATTTTCGAAGGATGTCTTATTTTTGGGAAAACACGGTAGTCTGTGAACCCTATATAGTATGTGTACTTAACCCCTAGAGAAGAGTTTTGTAACCTCTTTAGTGTATCTATAATAGACTTGCTCCACTCATTTTATTCTGAAAATTTCCTTTCTTCTGTTCTTTATGGCAAAGTTCTTAGTCTTTTAATGATATTCTTGCACAGTTGAGTCTCTAAGTATTGCCTGTTTTTCCTTTTCTTACTGACAACCCTCTTTTGCATACCTACCTCAGATCATTCCTTCTTTTCTTCCCACTCAGTACAAATGGAAACAACCCAAAACATACTTCATGTTTTTTTCCATGATCCTGTAACTATGCAAGTATATGCATAATGGGAAACATACACATGAGATTTTTTTTTATTGTTAAAAGTATTACATATAGTAGTACATATATCTCCTATGTGCCCTAACCAGGGATTTGAGCCCAAAACTTTTTATTTATTTATTTTTTATTAATGTATTTTTGTTGATTTCAGAGATGAAGGGAGAGGAAAAGATAGGAACATAAATGATGAGAGAGAATCATTAATGGGCTGCCTCCTTCATGCTGATTGAGCTCACACCCAACTGAGAATCAAACCATGACCTCCTGTTTCATAGGTTGATGCTTAATCATTGAGCCACACCGGCTAGTTGAGATATGTATTTTTCATAATTCTCAGATGACTGGCCCCATATAAATATATTGAATAATATATTTTTTGTTAATGATTTAGAAATGCATTTTTAATGTATAATGAAAGTGTCATATGTTTACATCTATTTTGGTGTTGTATTCTGCTCTGATGATCTGCCTATCTATTCTAGCACCAGTACCATTTAATTTAATCACAATTGCTTTATAATAAGTCTCCTACACAGTGTTTCATATGTGATTTCTCTAAACTTCACTTTCTCATCTATAAATTTTGAGCAGTGATTGGTATTATATGTACTCATATGTATTATACATATACAAGTACTTAGTGTAGGACCTGGCTATAGTAAGTACTCAGCAAATTACAGCTAGTTTATCTCCTAAAAGTACATAAACTATTTCGTATTAATGCAGTTTAAATTTCTACTGATTTTAGCAATCTATATTAATAATAGAGGAATATGCAAATTGTCCTGGATGATATCACATAACAACTGATCAGCAGGCTACATACGCAGCAGGCATGGGTGGGTGGGGACTTGCAGGGACAGGGCAGAGCCACAGCATGCAGACAGGCCTCTGCTGAGGGGCGGCTCCTGGGCGAGCTCTGCAGCTTTGGCAAAGTGGCTGAACAGGAAGTGGGCTGCCCAAGGGGCACAGAGCAGTGCCGAGGTGGGGAGCACTGGAGGGGGCTGGGGCAGGAGGCTGGAGGGTGGGGCTCTGCCCCGCCCTCGAAGAGCTGAGAGTGAGATTCTGTAGTGGCCCCAAGATGCGGGTTGGCCCAGTGGGGAACAAGGGGCAATGACTGCCAGTGTGGAAGAACACCCGGGCAGAGGGATGTAGACCTGTAGCCTTGAGGTGGGGATTGAAGGGTAGTGCAAAGGCTATGTGCGCAGGGCATCTGCAGGTGCCAGGGAACCCAGTCCTCTCCCCTACCCCACCCTGATCAGCCTTTCCCACCCCAATTGAGGGTGGGGCAGCTAGCCAACCCCCCCTACACACCCCTTGCACAGGCTGGCTACACCCCCATGTTTTCCCAGGGTTTGGGGTACCCCAGGCAGACTGCAGCACGGTGTCAGTCAGAGGCAAAGGTCCTGGCTGTCCCTGGCCTAGAGAGTCCCTAAAACCTCAGCAGTGACCAAAGACCAAGACCGAGTGGAAAGGTCCCTGCCGGTGCTTATGGCTCAAAGTGTCAGGAGCAGGCAGAGCGTCTTGAACCTGCAACCCTGGCATTGGGGCACACCAAGTCTTGGGGCACACCACCCCGGTGGCGCCTGTGGGTGAAAGAGGGAGAGCAAGGAGCTGGGGTGCATAGCTGGTACAGGGGGCGGCTAGATTCTTCTGGAGCGGCCCCCACACCTGCCTCCCTGGCTGTGGAGTCGGCGTGGGGAGAGCCATCTGCTGAGGTTGCTGTGACCCATGTGCTCTGGCTCCCGGGCCCTGCTCCCTGCCCAAATCCGGGTTCCAACAGCTGAGCAAGTTTCACCAACTCCCAGCCTCAACTCTTCCCAGCTGCAGTAGTGGAAGGAAGCTAAGTGCTGCTGTGCGACACAGTGTGCCGGGAACCACCACACACCCTGGTTTTCTAAACTGGCTTCTTCAGCTTCTGGATATCCCATGCCCAGCTGTGGCTTGTCAAAGCCCTGGTCAGCTCTGCCACTTGCCTTTCAGGTGCGGCTAGCCCTGAGCCAGCTCAAGCTGTGCTCAGAGAAGCAGCTGCTACTGGGCTCAGTTAAATAAGAGAAATCGAAGAGCTGAGAGTAAATTCCTCCCAGCCCCTTTCTAACACTGCCCCCCCCCCCCCCACACACACACACACCAAGGAGGGCTGGGGATGGGGGTAATGGAAAACGACTCTGCTTTGCATTTTATAAAGAAAAAACTCTTGCTATGTAGAAAGGAGAGCTGATTTGTTTCCAGCAACACCTGGCATGTCCGCTGCCCCAGCCCTGAAGCCTGACAGCACCTAGCAAAGGTGTGTCCGCACAGCCACGTTGGCCTGGCTGCTGGAATGTTGGGAGCAAGTTTGAGCTTCATTGATTAAAAAAATAAAAAGCACAGATTGAAAAGCACCCTTTGTACTCAAATGGCACTATGAAATGCAGATTACAACATCTGATTTCGTTTTCTGTGTTGATTTTGAGGCAGAGCGCAAATAGGTTCACGGGAAAAGCAGAAAAAAAGGAAAGGGAAAGGGAGAGGATCCTGCCATCTGTAGTACTGAACTTTGTTTTTTGTTATTTTTCCTTCTGTTCTTAAACCATTTTATGGCTTTAGGTATTGAGCTAATACTTCCTCTATTAAGAGCAAGCAGCAGTGCCTTTCATATGAATCACATTTGATTCAAATAGAGCATACAGAGTGGAGAGAATGGTATGTGTCATTATATAAAGAACTTGGCATTATGATGCTATCTGGCTTTAGATCTTATTTATTTTACAATTTAGAGAATATAGACAAATCAGACATTGAAAATGAATGTGCATACTTAAATGCATGACTTTATTTTCATCCGTAATGATCAAATGACTGGTCACCAGAAGGTGCATTGATGGGTCCCATGGCACAGTGGGTCTGGGTGAGGCTGTATGGTGAGGGTTGGGGCCGGGGGACCTGAGGCCGTGGCCCCTGCCTTGGCACTGGGGTATGAGGCTGAATCCCCTGCCTGGTGGGGCTTTGGTGTTGCCCAATGGGGGTGGGGCCGGCTAGACACTTCTATTATAGAGAAAGGGCAAATAGCAATATTAATATATTTCCACTAATTCCCTTTTAATGTGCATGAATTTCGTGCGCCAGGCCACTAGTTTATTAATAAAACTTATTTTTCTATACTAATAAAGTTAATCTAAAATTAGTGAGATGAACACAATATATAACTTATAGAGAAGTAGAAAATCACATTGTTTAAAAAGGGAGGTTCGCCGAAACCGGTTTGGCTCAGTGGATAGAGCGTCGGCCTGCGGACTGAAAGATCCTGGGTTCGGTTCTGGTCAGGGGCACGTACCTTGGTTGCGGGCACATTCCCAGTGGGGGGTGTGCAAAAGGCAGCTGGTCGATGTTTCTCTCTCATCAACGTTTCTAATTCTCTATCCCTCTCAATTCCTCTCTGTGTAAAATCAATAAAATATATGTTAAAAACTAATAATAAAATAAAAAGGGAGGTTCTTCCACTTCTAAGTATATATCCAAAATATATATTCACACAAAAATTTGTATATAAATGTCATAACATACATTTATTTATTTATTTATTATGTTTTATTGATTTTTTACAGAGAGGAAGAGAGAGAGATAGTTAGAAACATTGATGAGAGAGAATCATTGATGAGCTGCCTCTTGCACACCCCATACTGGGGATGTGCCCGCAACCAAGGTACATGCCCTTGACCAGAATCAAGCCTGGGACCTTTCTGTCTTCAGGCTGACACGCTCTATCCACTGAACCAAATCGGTTTTGGCATAACATTATTTATAATAGCCCAAAATGAAAAAACAATCCAAATATCAATCAATTAATGAGTGGATAAACACAATGTAACATACATGCAATGGGTTATTATTTATCCATCAAAAGGAATAAAGTATTGATAGATAGTATAGCATTAATGAATTTTGAAAACATTATCCTAAGTGAAAAAGCAAGGTAATAAGGCCACATATTATATGGTTACATGTATATGAAATATCCAGAATAAGCAAATCTATAGAGATAAAAATTAGTGGTTGTCAGAGCTAGTGAGAGAGACCGCAAATGGGTACAGAGATTTTGGGGGGATTGATGTATACAAACTTTGTAAATATATTTAAAAAAGCACAGAATTGTATACTCTAAAGCAGGCGTCTTCAAACTACGGCCCGCGGGCCACATGCGGCCCGCAGAGGAGTCTGATCCGGCCCGCCAGGTTTTTTGGGCAGTGAGCGCAGCCGAGGTGTTACAGTAGGAATTAGTAGTTCATATAGTCCGGCCCTCCAGCTCTCTGAGGGACTGTGATCTGGCCCCCACTTTAAAAAGTTTGAGGACGCCTGCTCTAAAGGGATGAATATTATGGTATATGAATTATATCTCAATTTAAAAAGGAGGAGAGGATGTTTTTGGTATTCGAGACTCAGCTTTGCTACTTGTTAATTATGTGACCTTGTGACTTGTTAATTTTTAATGCCTCAAGTATAAAATGTATCTAATATAGTATATTCTACATGTGTTGTAAAATTTTACATGAAAGCTCTTAGGATAGTGTCACATAAACAAGAAGCACTCTAACTATTAGCTATTATTAATATTTTCAGTTTCAGCATGGCCAAATATGGGCAATTTGGATTACCTTTATAAGAAGAATCTTGTGTAAAAATGTTTAACATTTGGTATGTGGAGTTGAGATAAACCTTCTACCATACTTTGAATTTTTTAGTGAAATAGGAATAAAATGTAGGATTGAATTTGTTAACATTTAAGCTTTTCTACATGAGTGTCAATTTAAGAATGCTAATCTAAATGCTTATATGTTTTCACTTTTAAATATAGCCCTAAGTGTTTCTTAATAACAAATGATAACGACTCTCTACATTGAATAAGTTTTATGGTATTATCTATTTGAAATGTGAGAAAATATAGTTAAAGTTTAGTTATATTTATAACTGGGGCACTGTGTAATTCATATTTAAACTCAGCTGACAGTTGTTGATTACTTCACTGTCAGTTTAAAGTATGTTTTTAATTGTTATAGATTCAGCGTTTATTGGAAGCGCAGTCTCTTCAATCCTGTTCCCCTCAAACAGCTACTGTTGAAAACAAGGGGCAGACTGCAAGACAAATGGAGTTGGTTTCCATGGAAGCACAGTCGTCGCCTGGTTTACACATGAGAAAAAGTGTAAGCATTGCTGTGAGCACAGGTAATTTTTTTTTTTTAATTTGTAAGGAAATTTTTAAAATGCTTTTTATGTCTACTTTAAAATATTTTTACACTGAAATTAGTGCATGCTACAAATAGAACCAAGACCAAGGTAATGAAAGTGTAACTTTTTAAAGTTTTTGTATAATTTTCCTCTTGATGAAGTAAAACTATACCTGAAAACAGTTATAAAACTACATAACAATACATTGTTTTTGCTACTTTCCCAGGCTGGACCCAATTTTAATAAGATAAGATAAAAGTTACCCCAGGACTTTAAGCCTGGATGATAGAGGGAATGGTGATAGTATTGGATAGAAGGAGGCAAGTTAGAGAAGCCAGGGAGAGTGGATAAGTTTAGTCCAATCTGTTGATATTGAGCTACTTTTGGAAATGGAGGTGAGTTGATGACATAAGACTTGCAAAAGTGTCAGATGAAGATTTTAGCTAGAATAAAAATTTAAGAGGGATAATAAAGAATGAAGACAGATTTCTATATTCTTTTTCTGAACTACTCATGTAGAGGGGAGCAAAGAGTAAAGGTAGCAAAAACTTCATGCACATTTATAAATTATATTACTCAGTTAAGATTCTTTAGCTACAGCATAAACTAATTTAAGCAAGGAAGGGGAATTTATTGCAAGAAAATGGGGACAAAGCCAAGGCCAAAAATGGGGTTTCAGGAAAAAAACAATTAGAAACTAGAGTACTATTAGGACTATCCAATCATTCTATGTGGCTCTTTTACTCAACTATTTTCTGCAGTTTTTGCTGCTTTACATTACAAAATATAGCTAACGCAGAGTTTCAAAGTTTATGTGTTACACAGTTCTAGCATAAGTACAAACCAGGTCAATCCCAGCGTCTAATTGCAGAGAACCTGAATGGCCAAGTTTGAGTTAGATTTTATTGTCTGGTTCAATGTAAGGGCATTGAGAATCACATAATAGAACATATCTCCTGGAGTCCCATTTTAGTTAATTACAGGGATGACAGTTCTTAGGGAAAGTGTGTGTGTGTGTGTGTGTGTGTGTGTGTTGTAGAGGGATGATAGTGAAGGAGCTGTGGATATTGTGAGCTAAATAAACATACCAAAAGTGCAGTTTTCTCTTATACCCTCTTGTAAAATTCTGTACATAATTGTATTACAGTTTATCTTCTGTATATGTCATAAACTGTAAGCACCTGGAACAACATAACACCTAAAGCAATGTGTGCTGAATAAGTGATAATCAAGTAAAGTTACTCACATTTGAACTTAATAATATATTCTGAAATGATTTGAAATGTTTTCAAGCATGATATATATAGAATTTAGTATTTTAAAACTATGGATTCATATTCAAGGTTGTTACTTATATGCAGAAAAATAAATTATTGATTATTTAGATTAAATGGCTCTTAGAAGCACATTTATTCTATAATAATACGTAATTCCCCAAAGTATATATAATGATATATATTCAGAAAGAGTAGCAGTGCTTTTGTAACTTTTTCAAAATTGTCCCTAAAACTTTTTAATGTTTAGTTGAATACTAGATTAAATCATTCTTGTATGAATATTTTCAAAAAATTATGCATGTGGGTCTCAAAGTAGAGTTCATTTTGACTTGGATTTACTTTTTTGTTTTAGCTATTTCTTTAAATAATTTTATAAAGCAGTATTTCCTGAATTATAGAATGTGTACTGCTGAGTTCAAAAGATGACTTGGAGTGGTATACCGATGAATATTTTACACTTTGTAGGTATATTCTTAGAAGTATCAGGAAAAGATATAACACTTCTATGATTTCTTGGAAATGATGAAGCTAGGTAAAAATTGAGTTGACAAAAATAGCAAGCAAGTAATACATGCAAATAAATTATGCAACTGATCCATAAAATTTGGGAAACATTTGATTTTTAAATACATGCCTTATATTACGTATGTCTCATACATCTCTAAGATTGCCTTATAAATATTGCATTTAAGTATCAAAATCAGAAAGCCTAGAGATTTGTATTTTATATATTTTCTGTTTTTTAGAGCAGCGGTTATCAACACACATACTCACACACACACACATACACACGCACACACCCCAAATTGTATTCAGAACCTTATATGTAAGACATAGCTCTTAAGGAATCAGGGCCCAGAATATGCCCTTCCCCCTTTATACCCCAGTTTTCTATTTTTTCACCTTTCACTTAACTCTTTGTGACATTTCTGAGGTAATATAATCTGAAACCAGTTCTAGGTAATTGTGTTAAAATAATATAGACAGTCTTTCTTAACAAAAGTTTGTCAGAGAATTGTTTTTGTAGTGGAATATTTGTTTCATTATCTACTAAAACATTTAATCTCCAGGTGCTAGCTTGTTTTGGAATGCAGCAGGTGATCATCAAGAACCTGACTCTCAGCTGAAGCAAGATGATACCAAGATTTCCAGTGAGGACATGAATTTTTCTGTTGATATTAATAATGAAGTCACAAGTCCTCCGGGTAGTGCATCTTCATTAAAAGCAGTTGATATTCCCAGTTTTGAAGAGAGCAACATTGTTGTGGAAGAAGAATTTAATCAGCCACTTTCTATATCCAAGTAAGGCTTCTTTGACTCAATATTTATCCCATTTTTTTTCTTTGTAAATTCTAAGATTCTTTTGGTGATCTAACTCATGTGCATGTTAACCCATGCCTACATCTACATTTATCTCTTTATGTATCTATCTGTATTTGAAAATCCTTGACTTCATACCAGTCTTCTGATTCCAATCTTACACCCCTTTTTCTTATTTAAAATTTCTTTTCCCAACACTGAAAAACCTGGCTCTTGTTATGTACATTACACTCAGTCATTTGGTCCTAGTATACACATAAAGTAGTTTCAGCAATACTAAAAATTCTGAATTTTACTAGAGTATATTTACTAGAGTATATTTACTAGAGTATATTTGCTTTAGCCTTATAATATTCAATGAAAATACCTTTTTTTGTAGTTATTTAGGTTAGTTTTTCTTCCTTATTCCCTTATGTTATTTTTTTTGCATTGTCATTAGATGTTACTATTTGTACTCCCTCCATATTCTGGTTGATTTTGTTTTTTTCAGTGTGTGAAACTCTGCTTCTAATAGACCAAGCTATATAAAAAGGTATACACTCAGAGAATTGTTTCCTTTTCATATGGGCTATCTTGATTCTAAATTCTGCTTTTCCACTTTTTTACATTGTATCACTTTAGTTACTGGCTTATCTTTCCTGTATTTGTTTTGTACAAATGAGCTTATATATCTGTATTTTATATTATTTCTTTCTTATATGAAATGTAGAAAAGTAGCATGCCATAGATGCTCTCCTAAACTCTTTACACTTGGCAGTATATATTGGTAATCACTCCAAATTGGTTCCTAGAGATCATTATATAGCAGAGATGTTAGCTATATAATCTGTGGTATATTTTGTGAATATTTTCTTCCAGTTTGTCAGTTGTCTGTTGACCTTGTTTGATGTTTTTTGCCATGTAACGATTTTTTATTTTAGTCAAATTATTGAGTTTTTCCTTAGAAGTATATCTTAACTGATGTCTTACAGAGATTCATTTCAGCCAATAGTTTGAGATTATCATGTACCAAATGAGTGCTTGACAGTTCATATCAAGTTAAAATTAAATAGCATGGGGAAAAATTGAAAATAGCTGAGTTTTAAAGAAGGGGTATGGCCGGGACCGGTTTGGCTCAGTGGATAGAGCGTCGGTCTGTGGACTGAAAGATCCTGGGTTCGATTCCGGTCAAGGGCATGTACCTTGGTTGCAGGCGCATCCCCAGTAGGGGGTGTGTAAAGGCAGCTGATCGATGATTCTCTCTCATTGACGTTTCTAACTCTATCCCTCTCTCTTCCTCTCTGTGAAAAATCAATAAAATATATTTAAAAAAAATAAAGAAGGGGTATGGTTAGAAAATCCATACCATATCTATAAAATAAAATATGTGAAGATCAAAACTTGCTTTTAATAATCCTATATAATAAAAGAGTAATATGCAAATTGACTATAACTCCAACACACAAGGTGGCTGCCCCCATGTGGACAGAAGATGGCCAGCAGGGGAGGGCAGTTGGGAGGGACTGGGCCTGCAAGGGAGGGCAGTTATGGGCAATCAGGCCAGCAGGGGAGGACTGTTGGGAGGGACCAAGCCTGCAAGGGAGGGCAGTTGGGGGCGATCAAGCCTTCAGGGGAGGACAGTTTGGGGTGACCAGGCCTACAGGGGAGGGCAGTTAGGACAAACAGACTGGCAGGGGAGGGGTTAGGAGGTGATCAGGCTGGCAGGCAGAAGTGGTTAGGGGCAATTAGGAAGGCAGGCATACGAGCAGTTGGAAGCCAGCAGTCTTGGATTGTGAGAGGGATGTCCTACTGTCCTACTGTCCTTGAGGGGTCCCAGATTGGAGACGGTGCAGGTTGGGCTGAGGGTCACACACCCCCATGCACAATTTCATGCACCAGGCCTCTAGTATTTAATGAAATGGAAATACTCATGATGTAATATTAAGTTTTTATTTTATTATTATTATTATTTTTAATATATTTAATTGATTTTGTACAGAGAGGAAGGGAGAGAGATAGAGAGTTAGAAACATTGATGAGAGTCATTGATCAGCTGCCTCTTGCACACCCCCTACTGGGGATGTGCCCGCAACCAAGGTACATGCCCTTGACCGGAATCGAACCCGGGACCCTTCAGTCCCCAAGCCGACGTTCTATCCATTGAGCCAAACCGGTCCCGGCTAATATTAAGTTTTTAAATGCAACTTAAAAAGCTATAATATGATTCAGTTTTTTAGAGAAAATGTATATGTATAGAAAAAAGTATAGATGGGAACACTGAAAAATTAATAGGTTATCTCTAGGTATTAAATTACCTGCTACTTTTCTTTTTTTTTTTTTTCTTTCTTTTTTAATATATTTTATTGATTTTCCACAGAGAGGAAGGGAGAGGGATAGAGAGCTAGAAACGTCAATGAGAGAGAAACATCGACCAGCTGCCTTCTGCACACCCCCTACTGGGGATGTGCCTGCAACCAATGTGCATGCCCTTGACCAGAATCGAACCTGGGACCTTTCAGTCTGCAGACCGATGCTCTATCCACTGAGCCAAACCAGTTTCGGCTACTTTTATTTTCTTCATACTTGGTATAACTTTAAGCAGTTACCTAACTAACCTCTGTGCCTCAGTTTCCTCATCTGTCAAATAAGGATAAAATGTAGTATCTATCCCATAGGTCTTTTTGCTAAAGCTAATATGAGATGATGCACCTGAAAGAGTTTATGTCCCTTTTTGCCAGCTAATATTTATTATTACTTTTTCCTATTTTCTACAATAGCCACATATTACTGTTCTTATAAGAAATGTTTTTAAATAATGTTTTCCATAGTTATTTTTTTAAATATGTATTCTAGTTTTAAAGGTAATAAATGTTCATTTTAAAAATACATAAAAGTATAAACAAGAAAAGTATTACCAAATATGTAATGTGATTATAAATGTCAACTTAGGAACTCTCATTTGACAAGGATCTTAACTGTTTTAAGACTTGAAGTAAACAAATAATACATTAAAAATTTTTAGAGTATCTAAAAAATACTAATTAAGCCTTTCCTATCATTAAACTCTAAAAAGCATCAAGTTTAGGAGAAATCAGCAGGTTGTTTGCCAACTTTCTAAGAAAGTTGTCTAAATATATTATAAATAACATAACTCAAAAAGGTATCATGACCCAGCTTATTATATACAGCCTATCGAGGTGAGATGTTCATCACTGAGAACTAAAAATGCAAACTAGAATACTGCTTGAGTCTTTCCTCTTTCTTCCATAGTTACTGTACTTTGTGAAAGGTACCTTGAGAATTAACACTTACATTATATATATTTCCTTTCAAGCAGCTCTTCTCCAGTTGTGAGAAAAGAACCTGATGTGCCTGTGTTCCTTCCGAATTCCCTGCTGGCAGAGCGCACAAGCATGTGCTTACAGAGTGGACCAACAGAGGGTGCTAGTAACAACTCTGTAACATTAGAGGAACCAAAAATTGAGCAAGTAATGCGACAATCCTTGCCTCATCAAACATCAGATAACCAGAAAATATACCAGGATTTATTGGTAAGAAAATGTAAAGCATTTCATCTCTTGTGAGATAGTTTATTTAGTCTAGGATATACTAATCAAGCTTTTCCTACCTTTAAAACTGATTGGGACCTTGACATAAAAAGGTTTTCTGCAAGTTAATGATATAATTTATTTCTTTTAGCTTTTCATAAATTATGATCATCTAAATTCAGTAATTTACTATAAGTTTTCCAGTTATCAGGTACTTAGCCAGGAAATAAAGCTTTATTTTAAAAATAGAAATGATGATATTAGGCCAAATTCAAACTGAAGTTAGTACCATAAAAAGTAAGCAAGAGCTGAAACCAGTTTGGCTCAGTGGATAGAGCGTTGGCCTGCAGACTGAAGGGTCCTGGGTTCGATTCCAGTCAAGGGCATGTATCCTGGTTGCGGGCACATCCTCAGTAGGGGTTGTGCAGGAGGCAGCTGATCGATGTTTCTCACTCATTGATGTCTTTAACTATCTTTCTCTCTTCCTCTCTGTAAAAAATCAATAAAATATTTAAACAAAAAAGCAAGCAAGAGTTTGCAGAAAATTTGAATATTGGAAAGAAGTAGAATATCTGTGATAATATTTACTGATTTTGGTTTAGATAAGCAGCATTTTATTAAATACTTAGCCTAGTCTACGAAACTAACTAAAGTAGATAATATAAAAGGTGAATATGGCAGTCTCTGCTTTTGAGAACCAGAATTTTTGAGAACCAGGGGAAATAATGCATGGATACCAGTAACAAACAGCTCTAGGGCAGGTGGAGAAGTGCTGTAAGCAAAGGCAGCACAGACTAAAAATAGATAACTCTGGTTGGAGGAAATAGCTGTCTTGGAAAAGTTAGAATGTAAACTGGAATATAAAGGTCACATAACCCTGGCTGTCACTTCTATCCAAATTGTAGACTTTGGAACATTTGATTTCTTCATTTAAAATTGAAAGCTAATTAAGTTTACTTCACAGGACCATAAGATTTCCTCAATGAACACACATTCATTATTTGCTTGCTAGGTCCTAGACTGATTGTGAGCAGCTGTGTGCTCAGGAAATGAAATGCGCTTTAATACCAGGAGGACAGAGATGATAATTCATTCTCACTCAAAGTGAGAAAAGGAAGAAGTCAAATTCTGAAAGTAAAAAGTAAAAAAAAACCTACAAAATGTATAACTAAAACATTACCATTTTTTTAAAATGAAAGTGTGGTTTAAAACTTTTGTTTATAAAGAATTTATAAGTCCTGGAAACACTTGAAAATAGTACTCAAGCAATTTTAAATCTGAAGGTTTTAAATGAACAAGTGCTGAACAGACATTATTTTTTCTTTTTTTTAAATCAGTACCAAAACTTTATTTACAGATATTGAGAATTTAATTATTTTATTTTTAAATTAAGTTTACTAGGGTGGCATTGGCTAGTCTATAATAATAAAAGAGTAATATGCAAATAGACAAAATGGCAGAACAACCAAACAACCAATCAGCATAATATGCTAATGATATGCTAAGGCTGCTCAACTGCTCACTATGATGTGCACTGACCACCAGGTTAGCAGATGCTCTGACCAATAGGTTAGCTTGCTATTGGGGTCTGGCTGATTGGAACTGAGCAAGATGGGCCAGACACACCGAACCAGTTTGGCTCAGTGGATAGAGCGTTGGTCTGCGGACTGAAGGGTTTCGGTCAAGAGCATGTACATTGGTTGTAGGCACATCCCCAGTAAGGGGTGTGCAAGAGGCAGCTGGTCGATGTTTCTCTCTCATTGACGTTTCTGGCTCTCTATCCCTCTCTCTTCCTCTCTGTGGAAAATCAATAAAATATATTAATAAAAATAAAAAATGGCTCTGCAAAATGCACAAATAAAACATGCATAAAAAAAAGAAAAAGAAAAAAAGAGATGGGCCAGACACATCCTGGAGCCCTCCCATGGTCCTTCCCTGGCCTGATTGTGCACCGGTGGGGTCCCTCAGCTTGGCCTGTGCCCTCTCGCAATCTGGGACCCCTCTGGGGATGTCAGAGAGCCTGTTTCAGCCTGGTCCTGCAGGTCACTCCCCTTGGGAGGGCACCAGATGCAGGGCTTATGGCTGGTGAGCACTTCTGTGGCAGCGTGAAGCTCTCCCAATTGGGACTGATTGAGTGCAAACCCATACCAGGCACAATGGGGCTGGGATGAGCTGGAGCAGCAGGTAGGAGCTACAGGTGGTATTGGACTGCAAATTTCAGCCCAGTTTCTGCAGGCCACCCAGAGGGATCCCACCCATGCATGAATTCGTGCACCAGACCTCTAGTAAGATAATATAGGTTTCAAGTGTAATTCCTATGTTATAGGATATGTATATTGCATTGTATGCTCACCACCCATGAACAGACATTCTAAGTTTCCTCTAGGGTAAGGTGACCAGATGTCCTGCTTTTGGTGGGACAGTCCCAATTTTTAACAATTTGTCTTGCGTCCCATGGCGTTTTAAAAAAGCCCCCTCATTTCAGTTGATTTATCATTTATTCAGTGTCTGCTATATGTGTGATGAATAAGAAATAATCTCTACCCTTCAGTAAGAGAAAGGATTATATCAGTAATTACAGAGATATTGTGGGATGTCTCCTGACAATGTTATATAGCGTTCCAAAGATACGTTAGATGCCAAAGATATGTTCTGGGAGTCTTGGGGAAAGTCCTTTTTTAAAACGCCATGGGATGCAGGACAAATTGTTAAAAATCAGGACTGTCCAGCCAAAAGCGGGACATCTGGTCACCTTACTCTAGGGTCTGATGAAATTATTCATTAGGATGAGCTGATTTTTTTATTTTTAAATATATTTTATTGATTTTTTATAGAGAGAAGGGAGAGGGATAGAGAGTTAGAAACTTCTATGAGAGAGAAACATCGGTCATCTGCCTCCTGCACACTCTCCAGATGTGCCTGAAACCAAGATACATGCCCTTGATTGGAATTGAACCTGGGACCCTTCAGTCCGTAGACCGATGCTCTATCCACTGAGCCAAACTGGTTAGGGCAGGATGAGCTGTTTTTATTAAAAATCCGATAATACTTACAAATGTACTTCATACTTCAGAATTTGGGAAGATATTATTTTGCTTTTCTGTGTCCTTATGCTTTTATTTACATTTTTATTTGCTGTGATTGTTAGTGATTTTTCAAGTATGTTCTTTTTTTTTTCATCAGGGTCAAGTGAACCACCTATTAAATAACTCCTCCAAAGAAACTGAACAACCATCTACCAAAGCAGTGATTATCAGCCATGAATGCATCAGAACCCAAAATGTTTACCATGCAAAGAAAAAAAAACATGATTCAGGACTGGTGGACAAAGATTGTGTTCTTAATGCAACCCTGAAGCAACTAAGAAGCCTTGGAGTAAAAATTGATTCTCCCACTAAAGTGAAAAAAAATGCACATAAAGTGGATCATGCCAGGTAATTTTAAAATTTGTTTTAAATGATGAGTAAATTTTAGATGTATTGTAGCAGTCTCATGAGAACAGGTATAAGCTTGCCATTCATTTCAGTTGATTTATCATTTATTCAGTGTCTGTTATATGTGTAATGAATAAGAAATAATCTCTACCCTTTAGTAAGAGAAAGGGTTATATCAGTAATTACAGAGATATTGTGGGATGTCTCCTGGTTAAAGATGGCAATGATATGCTCTGGGAATCTTGGGGAAAGAGAAATGAGCTTTTATTCATTTTGGTGTCTGGAAAGTCCTCCTGGAGGGATAATAGATGTGCCAGCATCTGGATAGTAGGCAGTTGTGCCATCTAAAAGGCAAGAGTATAGTCACATGAGCCTTACCAGTTCCAACTTGTATGTTCTTCTGTCAGATTCCGCTTCATCAAAGTCGACCTTAACACATACTTGTTTTTAAAGATGATAAAATCTGGAAATTATATTATGGTTAGCATGTTTTCTGTTCATTGTTTTTGTTGCTGTAGTTTAGTTATAAAAGTAATAGTCTCATGATTTTAAAAAATATCAAATAATACACAAGAATACCAGATAAAATACAAAAGTTCCCATTCCCCAAACTTCTCAGACTCCTCCAACAAGATTACTCCTCTTGTTTGTTTTATATTTTTCTAGAAATGTTCAAGTATATACATGGGTGATGAGTGTTGTGGTTTCGATTTTCTTGTTTAACATTTATAGCTTACTTTTTTTATAGGCATGTGTAGTTCTTTCTCATGCATTTAAACAGCTGCATAATATTCTGTGGGACCCATTTACTATAATATAGTGAACCCTAGTCCTCTATTAATAGCCATTTAGTCTGATTCTCTTATTTCTTATCTTAAGCAATGCTAAGTGAAATCATTCTACAGGTACTTGTACAAGTACCTTTGCAGGATAAATTTCTACATAAGCAGGATCAAAGGATATGTGCATGTAAGATTTTGGTTGCCATTAGCCACCAAAATAGTTGTACCAGTTTATATTCCTCCCAACAGTGTGGGAGAGTGAGTCTAGCATTTATGAGGTAGACGCTATGTAACATCTGTTGGAATGCACAGATCACCTGCTATCTATATGGAACCCTTACATTTTGGTATGGCTGCCTTTGGGTAGTAGTTTTTAGGTAATATATTTCTTCACAGTGGCCACCCTATTTTATTTATCTTTAATATATATATATTATTGATTTTTTACAGAGAGGAAGGGAGAGAGATTGAGAGCTAGAAACGTCGATGAGAGAGAAACATCGACCAGCTGCCTCCTGCACACCCCCCAGCGGGATGTGCCCGCAACCAACGTACATGCCCTTGACCGGAATCGAACCTGGGACCCTTCAGTCTTCAGACTGACGCTCTACCACTGAGCCAAACCGGTTTCGGCAAGGCCACTCTATTTTAATGTCTTTAGTGTGAAACATTGAAATTAACATGTTTTAGTATATAATGAACTTACTGAATTAGAAGTTTTTATTTTTCAAATTATTTACATTAATATTATCTATAGATATGTATTTTTCTGGTTGTACATGTTTTCTAATTTAATATGCAAATTTCTTAATTTTAGTAAATAAGCAAAGAAAGTAGAAAAGGACTGTATGTTCAGAAGATATTATCAGTATAATACACTATAAAAGTATAATGTCTAGATAAATTGGTAGTATGTCTTTCATCTTATTCAGTCTCCAAAGTATTAAGTACCAAGAAGGTTAAGGAAGAATTCTTTATAAGGACCAGCAGTACTGAGCATGCTTTCCCATTGCTTGATGATGAGATGACTAGTTTCAGAGAATACTAACGATGAGAATGAAAATACCTGATAGTTAGTTGGGTTTTGTAGAGGTAAGGACGCACATAGTGGCTGGCACATATAAAACAGCTGAATTTCTTCATTGAAAGATATGGAAAGTTATAGCTTATTCTTTACCTAGAATATACTCAAATTAGTACTCACCACCACCAAGTAGTACTCAGCTCTAATTTTTAGGGAACAGAAAAACAGGTAGCAAAAATGCAAGTTGCTGAATACAGTATAATAAATAGTGGTTATGAAACCCCAGAAGTAAGGCAAACCTGATCTCAGCTTGCCAGTTACTAGCTGCTCAACTTACGGAAATTAGTTAAAAACCTCTAATCCTCAGTTTTCTCAACTATAAAGTAAAGGTAATAATAGTTCCTACTTTTATTGATTCGGTAAATACTTAATTGAATGCCTGCTACCAGGCACCAAGGGATACTATAATGGGGACAGAAATTCGTGGACTTTTCCGAGAGAGCTAGACAATAAATAAGAAATGTGAGTTAATTGATAGATAGCCATCATTGGGTAAGGAGAAAACAGAAAAAGTAGGGGAAGGGAAATGTGAGGTATTAGAGTGGACAATAAAGTTGAGATATTTGATATGGATGACCTCTCTGAGAAAGGTTTCTGTGAGGATTAAATAAGATAATGAATGTTTAGCAGAGTACCTGGCACATAATAAGGCATCCATAAAAATTAGCAGCTATTATTCTATACATTATTATAAATTCTATGTATTATTATTCTATATATTATAAATTATTAAAAATTCTATATATTATTATTCTATATATTATAAATTAGCAGCTATTATTCTATATATATGATATAAAGGGAAAGGCAACATTGAGCTAACACTAGCCAAAGTGAGTTGAAGGTTATTTCTAGAAAGAAAATCAGTGTATACACACAAACAGTAGTCCATATCTAAAGACTAATTGATGTTTATTTATTATAAATAGAATCTCTTCAACTATGAAAATTTTAATATTCTTAGCTATTTATAATACAAGAGCTTGTAAATGTTATATTATCAAATATGTTTTCTATTTTATTTATTTATTTATACTTGACCAATATTTACTTTACCAATGATTTTTACATTTGGGGGCCTATATTTTCTCTGAAAACCATGATTGATGTTTAAATTTAGGAAAATTAATTTGTGTTCCACTTTCAGTTTGTGAATCATGATTACCTTCTAGGTTATCGTATTTATCCCTTGAATGTATCTGGGTCATTAAGACTTAGGTGTTTGAGCACTCTGATAAAAAAAAAACACCAAAGCCTTAGAGCCGAAGACTTTTTGTTACTTAAAATGGAACACATTTAGAATAACACTATTTGATACTCAAAATAAGATAAATGATGGCCTACTCCATTTTGTCTTTCAGTGTGTTGGCATGCATCAGCCCTGAAGCAGTGATCTCTGGATTAAACTACATGTCATATGCTAATGTTGGCATGAGTGGCTTAAGCCCTAACAGTGTGGATTTGAGCATGGAGGCAAATGCTATAGCTCTGAAATACTTAAATGAAAATCAGCTGTCACAACTGTCTGTCACTCGATCAAATCAAAATAACTGTGACTCATCCTTTAGCTTTCTGCATATTAATACAGACAAAAGCACAGTAGGGCTTAGTTTAATTTCACCAAACAACATGTCTTTTGCAACCAAAAAATATATGAAGAGATATGGGCTTATACAAAGCAGTGACAATAGTGAAGATGAAGAGGAACCTCCAAAGAATACAGATCACAAGAGTGAACATTTATTGAATCAGAACCCCACATGCACACCTGAGCAACTTGATTGTCAGAAGGAGCCTTCTAGGAATGCCTGTGAAATAACTAATTGTAATAACTGTGAATCCTTGGGCACCCCTAGAGGTATGCCAGTATTGAAAAATATTACAAATGAAGCTGTTCAGCCAAAAGCAGCACAGCAGTTGAATGAAAACCCAGCTTTTTTATTAAAGAACCTTAAGTCAAGTCCTGCAGTGAACCTCCGAACTGGAAAAGCAGAGTTTACCCAACATCCTGAGAAAGAAAACGAAAGGGACACTCCATTTTTTCCTGAAAGCTTGAAACCTTCTGAAACTTTAAAGCAAATGAATAGTATAAATTCTGTAGGCACCTTCTTAGATGTTAAGCGTCTCAGACAGTTGCCAAAATTATTTTAAACCTTTAACTCCCTGCCCTGATAGGAGGACTGGGTGTCTTCGGAAGATACTTATAGAAGCCAGAACTCTTTGGTAGTTTGGGGATCTCTAATTAAACATGGGTCATCCTGTTTGTTTGTTTTTTATAACAGCTGATTGCAAAGAGTGAACAAGTGACCTAATTGTAAGATGGCTGGCTGGTCAGAGGGCTAAGTTCTCTTTGTTAAAGAGCTTTTAATGTCACTGAAGCCTTTTTAAAACAAAAACTCCTAAGAGTTGTTTCAGCAAATTTAGGTAAACAGATCCATCCAACTCTGGATCTGAACTGCTCTTTATACTGTAAATTTTGAAAAGTAAGTTTGTTTTCCTAGCGTGTTGCGTCTCTGCATCTACCCAGTATCACCTAAAAGAACTAAAATAAAGTTATCATGACCCTGATTAAATTAGCTAGATCAATACTTACTAAGTTTAAGGGGAAGTTTTGTAAAATCATTTAAGATCTTTTTATTCTAGGAGTTTATATGTCCCCTTAAGATCCATATTTGTTAAATCCTGTGGAAGTAAAACTTTTGCTATATGGTGGGTTATATATTAACTATCACAGAATAAGAAAATTATTGGGTATGAGTGTGTTGTATAAACTTTGTGAGTTTTTCAAATGTTTTAATTTTTAAATAGAACTAAAATACCTATTAAATTTAATAAAAATGTCTAGATTGACTATTCTCCTTTGTTCTCTGTTACAGCATATCCTTCTCCACTTTAAAAAAAAACAAAAAACTTTTAGGCCCCAGAAAGTTACAAAAATAATAAAGAGAATTCACTATTAAAGAGTATTCACCCAGCAACCCCCAAAGATAATATCTTACATAACCATGTAAATGATTAAAATTAAGAAGTTGACATTGTCTATAGTATTAATAATTAAAACAGACCTTTCAGGTTTCACAAATTTTTATATGCATTCACTGTCTTACCTTTTGGTATATACCTTGTTTTCCCGAAAATAAGACAGTGTCTTATATTAATTTTTGCTCCCAAAGATGTGCTAGGTCTTATTTTCAGGGGAGAATATGGTACACATTTACTGTTAAATGAAAATAAAGGAAATTTATTACCTGTATACAGTATGGAAGTATGGTGGTTATCAACACAAACCAGACAAACTGTGAATCCTACAGTATCAAGAACTTACTCATTTATTCAGTGACAATCATGTCATCATCTTCTGGAACAAATCATGTCATCATCTTCTGGAACATCATCATAACAATCCAATTCCTGAATTTCCTAGTGAATTTCTTGTGACTCCATTTCTTTCAGAATGTTTAGCCTAAGGGGGCCTTATTTTCGGGGGAATGCCTTATATTTCACTCAGAAGGAAACCTGTAAGTAAGTCTTATTTTCAGAGGATGTCTTATTTTCGGGGAAACACAGTAGCTCTGAAATTTTGTCATCACAATCACTGTAGAGAAAGAACTGTACTGTCACCCCAAAGAAACTAGTTGTACCCTCCTTCCAACCCTGACCTCTAAGAATCAATGGCCTATTCTCCATCCCTGGGATTTTGTCATTTTGAGAATATAAAAGGAATCATAGTATGTAACTTTGAAATTGGTTTTCACGCAGCATAATGTCCTTGAGATCTATCCAAGTTGTTGAATGTATCAATAGTTGCTTCCCTTCTCCCTGCATCTTCTTAAATACTAAGTTTTAACTTGTTATTTCTGGATATAAATGAAAAAAACCTTCATTTGAGAGAAAGCTCTTCTGCTGAAGTTAAATGAAGATACTGCCTTATATCTAAGCTTGATGTATAAATTGGAAAGAAATAGACTTTGGATTTCCAAATACTTTCCAATCGAGCTGGGGCTTTCTGAGGTAATCCTCCCTATATAATAAAGATGTAATATGCAAATGGTTGTTATACAGTAAAGCGTGACGACCGACTGTAACGACTGGATCATGGATCAGGAGGGTGAGGCTTGAGGCATCGGAGAGCTACAGGAGGGGGCAGGACAGAAAACTATGAAGGGGGGGGTGGTAGGGGGAGCTACAGGAGGGCGGGGCGGCAGGCAGCTACTGGAGGGGGGCAGCGAGCTATTGGCGCACAGATTCATGTGCAGGGCTACTAGTAATCTGATAATTTATAGTTAGCAAGCCCAAGTATAGCAATATGGTAGCTTTCTGCTGATCTCCCCACTGGAGCTAGGGACCCATTTGTGCATCTTTTTCTTCAGTGTTGCTCTTTTAGGTTAAAAGTAAGATGAGTAATTAGCAATGATGATTGTGTTTCCCTTTGTTTCCATAGGCATTGTTTGAAGTTTTAGTTATTTTAATAAGTAGCATGAAAGTCCACCTATGGACTTCATTGGAGTAAAGCATTTTTAAAAATATTTTTAAATGTTTTTCTTGATCTCAGAAGGAAGGGGGGGGGGGTAGAAAAAGAGAGGAGAGAGATAACATCAATGATGAGAGAGAATCATTGATCAGCTGCCTCCTACATTCCTACCCCTCACTGGGGATCGAGCTCACAACCCAGGCATCAGACCAGGAATCAGACCATGACCTCCTGGTTCATAGTTTGACACTCAACCACTAAGCCATGCTAGCCAGACATTGGAGTGAAATTTTAGTGGAATTGTCAATGCCACACTTTAACAGCACTGTGTGCTCTGTTTAATGTTAATCCTCAGTGTCTTACTCAAGAGAGTATAGGTACAATTTATATTGCACATTAATGAACAAAAATCAGGGGATGTTACTGAATTAACTGACAACCTCATTAACTGTACGATTATCACTGGGAATCCACACCAAATAAAAACTGAATCTGAGACTTTTTAGGCAAAATCAAATTCCATCACCACAACTAATTTAAGGCCTCTGATAAGGATGCTTAAGCAGTTTCAACAAAACATGTCGCTCTACTAAATACATTTCCAGAGAAGAGAGACCATCACCGAAGCCTCCTCCAGAAAGTTCTCTAAGAAGAGTGTTTTACTATGGTAAGTTACTTGGCAAGCTATTGCTATGATAGCATCTAGGCATCTTTGGAAAAAGCACTGGTACTGGGAAAACAGGATTTAAAAGACTTTTGAGATGATTGTCTCTCAAGTGACATTTCTCTGAATTTTTTTCATTCATCCAGTCCCCAGCAAGCTGTTTATAGATATGGGTGTGCTACTTCAAATGAAATAAGGGAACAATGGAATTTCTGCATCCAGAAACTTACTCACTAGTCTGGGTCCTGACAAATTGACCTCTCCCCGCCCTCTTTCCTCCCCCCTAACCCCCCAACACCAAATATGCACTAACTCGGCCTCTGAGCCCCTTTTGGCTAACTGCTCCATGCTCACTTATCCTCTGCCTTGCCCTGCAGAAGTGGATGTAGACATGCTAGACATGAGCCTTGTCTTTTGCCAGCTGTCAAGATTAGGGAAAACAGATACACCCTGGAAGCAGTCACATAGCGGTATATGATGAAAAGCCAAAACGAGTGGTCCAGACTAAGCTGTAGCAGTGTCTTCCACCTTTTTAGAACTCACTGTGCAGAGTACTTAACATGTTTTAGTTCATTTAAGCCCCTGCTGACCACATCTGGTGATTGTCATCGTCATAGATGGGGAACAGCCTGAGGGAAATAACTTATCCAAGTAAGTTGCTAGGAGAGATTCACACACAAGTATAACTTCTATCTCAAGCTCTGAGTAAGCCACTGGGAAAACAACTCCTCTGAGGCCTGAGGAATTCAGGAAGAGCTTCCTACAAAAAAACAACAGATGATTTTGAACATTACAGTCAATGCTGTCTTCAAATATACATTGTCCTCTAAGCTCTCCTGCTGTATTTTCCCCTAAGAAGGAGTCTCCTTGCCCTTTAGCAAGACCAGAAATGATTTTTTATTTTACTTTATTTTTTTTTACCCAGGAGCCCTGAAGAAGGCCACCCCAGCTATGTAATGTTAATATTAAAGGGTTCATTTCAGCGATTTTCATCCTGGTAACCTTCTCGAGTCTACTGTCAGGGCTCCAGGAAATTGAGGAACAAAAGATTTTTCTGTGCCCTTGTTTTCTAGGCATTACTCATAAGGGCAGAACCTTTGCTAGCCTCCTAGATGAGAGAGGTCTTTGTGCCTGCAAAATAAATTACATGATAATGTCTTAGGTTGATAGACTATTTCACACATTTTTCAAAGTGTGCTTTCCCACATACTTCCTCTTATTAATACTTACAAAACCAGACTGAAGTACAATATATAGAGCAGTATCATTAACCCCTTTTTTCATATGATAAGGCAGAGACAAATAAGTTATAACTGGGCCAAGGTCACACACATATAGTTAACAATCTAGTGTTCTTCCACAGCATCTAGCCCAGCAGCAGCCATTCTCTCCACGTTTTTGATCCCCATCAGCACCATTTTCACTCCTAATCCTTCCACAGGTACCTAATATTTGTTCTGCTGGGCGCTGAGCTAGGTGCTGAGCATAAGGTGATGAACAAGCCAAATTTGCCCTGTAGGAACTCTATCTAATGGAGACAGACATGCAAACATTAGCAATGCTGAGAGGTCAGTGCTCCTATATGAAATGGGAGAATAGATTAAGAGAAGCTTGGAGGAGGGTTATTCTGACAACACTGGAATTTTCCAGAATCTTGCAGGAGCAAGAGGGAAAAGAAGGGAAAGAGGTGATAGTTCTAATAAAGGAAATAGCTTGTTGAAAACCCTGGCGATATGAATAGGTATAGCACTGGAGGAGGGGGTTGGGGACAAGAAACTAAAGATAGGTAAAGAGGTAAAATATACAAGTAGAAAGAACACTGAATTAGAAGTCAGCAACCATTGGATTCTTCTCGTTGCTCTGCCCCAAGTTCTGTGACATTGGGCAAGTCACCTCATATCACTCAGCTTCAGTTTCCCAATTTTTGAGGTGAAGGGGTTAGCCATGTGTCGCTGACATGCTGTGATTATATGAACAGTGATTCAGAAATAGGGTATGAGGCGTGGTTTACAAGTCCAGAGGGGAAGGCTTCCATAAAAGATTAGAGTCGAGCCTTCACAGGTATAGATGAGGTTTCCCTACTTTTTACAATGCTTAATGTATTTCACAATTTAAAAAGAAAAACAGAGTTCCATTTCCCCCACCAAAATGATGATTAATAATAACTGTTCCAAGGAATACCAAGATACCTTTTACCAGCTCTGAATTGCACATTCCCTGTTTTTAAGGAGTTCAAAGTACAGTGTGAAAGAAAATATC